TTGATCTCAAGCTCACATTTCTCAGGTGGACAATGGCCTTCCAGAACAGTCATTTCTCACTTGCGTATGATCGACCATCGATCACCATGGTCAGCCAACCCGAAATTCCATTCGATCCCAAATCGATGCCGGGCCATCGCTCTTATTTTGAGAGTCTTTGTCGCATTGTATCCTTGGCATTGGAAGTCTTGCGGTCGCGCATGTATCCTGGATCATCTCAGTTACGGGTCCATGAGATCCGTGAGTATAAACTACAGATCCAGCGGATACTCGCTGAAGCGACTCCTCATCTGCGGTATCGAGACAACTGCCGGTCCCTAGCCGAGCATATTGAGCGAACCGAATTGCGCCTGCACTCCTCATATCTTCTCTCTGTCTTGTGCCGCGTTTCGCTTGACCCACATGCCCATTTGGACGCACAGCGTCGCACAATGATCCGCGAAGACTGTATCGGCAGCTTGATGAACACAATCGACGCGTTTGTCGAATTGCACGAGATCAATTCCCACTGCTCGCGGTCCTGGATCAGTCTGCAGCGAACTATTGCATCGGCATTTTTGCTCGTTGCAAATGATGACAGCCCCGAGACCTGGCAGCTGATCGACAGACTGGAGATGGTCCTGGCGGACCATGTCTATGCAGACGGTGACATGGACCAGAACAACCGCACTGATTCCGCCAAGCATCTTTCTTCTTCACTCCGTGCTCTGCGTGAGATCCGCCAGGCCTTCAGCGCTCGCACGGGCAGTTCGACAGGGCAACCATCGAGCACAACATATTCCCCCCTTTTGTTGCCGTCCCCTCCCTCTCTCGAACCCAGCCCCAATATGCCATCGACCACCAATGCAGGTCTGCAGCCGATGGAAGGGTTGAGCATGCGGAATATCCTTGATCGTGTTTCGGATGTGATGTTGTTCCCCAGCATGAGCGGAGACAACCCAGTAGTGTAACTGCTCACATACTCTTGTTTTTCGTTTTGTTTTCCTGTGCTGGCGTTCGGGGAACATGGGACCTCGGGAATATACAATACCTGGGAATTTCCTATGAGGTTAGCATCGCTATAGACATACCTACTCCCCTACCGGTGCGGGAAGAATGATATCGATATATGAATCCCTCCAAAATATAAGGAAGGTCCTGGATATTTGCACCTGTCGGTCTTTTAGGGAGTAGAAAGTGAAATTCGAAATTCGACAGTGCACAGGAGTCGGCACATTCCCTTAGATGCCTGCAGCTCTGGCGGGTCCGAATGCCGGCAGTGTCGAGTTGTTCGGCCGACCGGTCTTTTTCTCTCCAGATCCGGTACTTATAAGTACGAGGACTCTTAAATCATTGCCAAATCTGAAGCATCCCTGAGCTCGGCTGGATCTCCATCTCTTGTCCAAGCCCTTTCTGCCATGGAGGATGAGGAAGAAGGGTGGAAGGTTGCTAGGTGGAGTCGTGGCTGGCTCGTTCGGCCGGCCGAGTTATCCCCGACTCTTTACTTTTTCTCCAGCTCGACTTCCAAGGTCTATGCATTGCGTCTAACACATTAGGCTTTATTTATATTCTTACATGCACTCCTATTTGTCTTGCATAGAAACTATCGTCTGATGCTTATGCCTTATGATCCACTTCTAACCGCTTCGGAGTCTGAGCCCTGTCCGGAATCCATGAGGCTTATGGGGATTATGGGGCGATATGGAGGATCTAGGCTTGTCTAGGTATCCGACTCGTATGACATTTGATCCTTTTGATTCTGATTTATTACCCAGTGTCTCGGGTAATGGTATGTTTATTCCGTAGTGTGTCTCTGCTTACTCCGTACTCTTGCTTTGGTCATTTAGATTTGGTCTGATCAAATACAATTTAGGTCGTACCGAGATATGTCGCTATAGAGATATATATATATTTTTCAATGGGTCCACATATATTCCTTTCAGTGTTGATTGTGCGTCATATCAGTACAGCATATCTATTTCTAGTCCCAGGGGTTTGATGCATCCGGGATTGCCGGCACTATATATTTCGGATCGATATGAACTATTGCTTTGCAAACAGATGACTACAATAAAAAATCTTAATGCTGTGGGCTTGACTCCGTACTCTGACTTGTAGCATGCCATATGTAAATGTACATGTACATCTTAATTTTAACTATTTGGAACTTTGTATTACTAAAAACCATGGGCTAACTGACTAGTTAACTAACTGGATCTGATGGCTTAGGGGGATCCCAACAGCGACTACTTCACCGGGACCTAGAAAAGAATAAATGATAGGAGCCTTCTATAACTGAATGGGTACAGAAAGCATGTTAATATGCAAACTAAATGTGTAGCATATGGGCTTAATGAGTGACTGAGTAGCTTCATGGGAGGAAGCATTCGGAGCAACTTTGATGCCGAACGCTTGACAGAGTACCAGCTCCCTTATTGGACCAGAATGGAGAACCAGTCAAATACTTGAAGTGGATTGTTCGAGTCTCTACTATCAGATAATCTAGGAAATGAATATAGTGAGACCCTTCTTCTCATGGTCCATTGATGGGCTGTACCACTCGCTACATAGTATTTTTATCCAAGGCTGTGAACCAAATTCAGACTCGGCTGTTCTGCATTAGCCTCAACAGCGTGCGATATCATATTTTGAAGTACAACACGACTATTGTCACAACGTTACATATGTACCTAAATCCAACAGATGGGGCGACCGAGGTAGAGGTAAAGAGGCAAGTGAGACGAGTGTTTGATAGCGATGCGATCAACTACTTTTCATTAGAATTAAAATCCGAGGCTCTGAAAATCTGCCTAAGAAGGGAGGTATCATTTTAATCTCGCTAGGTCATTGCGTAAATGCACCCATCCGTGTAGAGGTATGTGCTCGTATACCCCGGAAAGTGCATTCACACACCGCTACAGAAGAGACCTGGGCATAGAAAGAACCGAGCAGTTACTTGTGATTCTTCCCAGATCTATCATCAATCTGAGACGTTTTAATCTATCAAATATACCAAGTAAATACGGAATAAAAGCTTCAAATGTCATCATCGGAGGGCCCCTGCCCCGCATGCAAATGGACCCCAGATCAACAAAGACGCTGCGTCTACCAAAGTAGCGTGCGCCTCTTCCACGGAGCCCACGATCGGGGCTACTGGTCCCTCGGCTCAAAGTTTCTCCTGAAGGAGCGCGGGAAAGATCCCCCTAGCCATGAGGTCATCAACACCCACTTCATTAGAGAGAATACCACCATCCCCGTCCCGACAACCGTGCAAGAGTGGACCGAGGGCGAAAAATATTTTCAGATTGTCGAGCGGGTGCCTGGGGTACCGTTAGAGGAGATCTGGTCGTCAATCCCCCAACCCGACCGCGAAAGACTGGCTCGCCAGACTGCGGAGTATCTGGGGCAGCTCCGCTCGTTCCACTCCGCTAAGATGGAAAGTCTCCATGGCCAACCGCTTTGTTGTCCTCTTCTCTTTAACGATGATGGTCTTGGAGTCACACATGGCCCACTGAGCACAGCCGACGAGTTCTGGGATGTTTTGGCGAAATCCTTGGGCGGCAAAGTCCCGGAAGTTGTTAAATTGCGGCTCCGTGATCGCATGCCTTCTCCTCATCCGTGGACCTTTACCCACGGGGACTTGACTGACTGCAACATTATCGTGGACCCAGTCAAATTTGAATTGAGCGGCCTGATTGACTGGGAGAGCTCGGGGTATTACCCTGTGTGGTGGGAGTTTATGGGGGCTAACTTCGGGTCCAGCGAGGATGACCTAGACTGGAAGCGTTTGCTCCTGGGAAACATGGCCAATCAGGAGGAGGCTCGCACGTGGTTTCTGGAATTCAGGTCGTTCGATGCGCGTCTGGGTGATTCAGACACGCGATTGAAGGTGCTAAAGGAATGTGGCATTGAGGAAGACATCGAGATCTAGGAAGTATACAATACAGAAATTATGGTTGTTTAACAGGCAGCTGGAATGAAGAAATAGGAAGCAAATAGCAAAAAGGGAATAAAAGATGACCGCCTAAGCTTTCCAAATCTAGACGGCGATCTCAACTTGTTCCTGTTAATGAGGACATATAGTACCAGTTGTCGATTATCTCTTAATGCCGTGTATACATGAGATCTAGATACTCAATTCTCATCTAATAATTCCCCAATGCTTGTTAATCTCAGATAAAGAAAATAGAGAACACTATCTCCAACCCCGATGTATAGGAATTGCGAAGCTTTTGGTGGAGATGAACGATGAGCAGCGAAATGCAGTTCATTTCCTCTTTCAGCTACAAGTCCGAGCCTCCCCTCATTTTTGTTCCCATTTCCTTGTTTTCGTTTATCATTTTCCATTTTGGATCCATTTACCTCATCATTGGCTTTTGTTCCTCATCTTGGCTACTTTGTGGGGAAGTACGTATCCCCCGCTTTTGCCCTGGGCCTTTTCCCCCGGAAATCCCGCATCCATCCGCAATACGTCGATATACGCAGAAGCTTTTATGGCTTCCCTAAATAGATGCCCAGCCTTCCCCCCCAGGAAAGCTAACACATGTGCCTGGGCTGGACCTCGGGAGCAGAAATTTACTACCATTCCCCTGCTAGTGGTGCCGATCGCTACCTAGTTCCCAGGCACGGCCAAAAGCGAGCTGGTAGATTCTGCTATCGAGTGGAGTTGTAATGGGAATTGCTCATCACCGCCTGTCACATGGGAGCTATCGCTAGTTTGCCTCGGTGTCGATCCTTATTTCCTCGGTGATGATGGAGCTACCTCGTACTCCGAACAGACGCCCAAAAAGGAGAAGTTAGTGTAATTGGGGTTAGCTGGACCCTGTCTGCTGCGCGACGATCAATGCCATCATGCAAATAAAGAGCTGGCTCATTCCAGGGTAGAGTTTTTAACCTCCCCGAAGGCTCTTCCTGTTCCGCAACAAACCTTTGAACGACAGGTTTGGGGAATAGACGCCAATTCGACTGGCCAGACAAGATATCAACTAAAGAAACGACAGCCAGATCGGCCCATTGACAACATGCGTCTTTTGCCAACGCTCGCCACCGCGCTCCTGCTCACAGTCAATGTGACAGGAAGTCCGGCTGCTGCTTCGGCCCCGGCGGAATCCGCCACCCCCGTCGCGAATGTTGTAGATCAGCCCGCCCCGACAACATCAGCTGCTCAAGCAAACAATGTCAACCAGGCCAATGTCGTGGCTGAGACAACGCCTCCTGCAGACACCGTCCAAGCCGCCAACACGGCTACTACTGCTGCGGCGGCGCCTGCGAAGGAAGAAGGGACTACCCCTGCTGCAGAGAACGCCGACCCGACCAAGGCTAACCCCGTGGAATCCGTGGTCGGTGGTATTCTTGATCCCAGTCCTAAAGAATCAGCCGACTCACCCGAAGCAACCGGCCCCACTGGAACTCCTGCTAAGTCGGCTGCTGGGACTAGTTCCTCCCCCGCCGAGACTACCCCTGCTGCCTCTGCTACAGGCACCTCAGGCACCTCAGGCACCAAGTCTACCAGCTCCGATAGCAGCTCTGATGACTCCAAGTCTTCTGATATCCTGCCAGATATAAAAGAGGCCTTCTCGAGTTTGCTCGGCGGGGGTGGTGGCGGCCTTGGGGACCTTCTGCATGGTCTTGAAAGCCTGCTTAACCCCGCCTTCTTGGGTAACTTTGCCGACACCTTCGAATACCTCTCTACCAGTCTCGCACCCCCGGTCGACAACCAGATCCGATCCTTGGTGGGCAATGCCAATGACCTCCTGACTTCGGACTTCATCAAGAAGACTGGCAATCTCATTGACAACGCCAACACCCTCTTGACTGAGGAGAACACCAAGGAGATTGGAACGCTTCTCAAGGTGGCCAATAAGTTGTTGTCTGGTCCGTTTATCGACAAGGTGGACAGCCTCATCGACAACGCCAACAACCTCCTCACCGCCGACTTCGTCAAGAAGACCGGTAACCTCATTGACAAGGCCAGCCCTCTCATCGACAAGGCTGGCCCTCTCATTGACGACGCTAGCGGCCTACTTACTGAGAAGAACGTCCACGCGATTGAGGGACTCCTGACAAACGCCAACACGCTGCTCACTCCCGAATTTGTTAAGGAGACCAACAACCTCATCGGCAAGGCCAGCCCTCTTATCGACGACGCCAGTGGTCTCCTCACCGACGGCAACGTCAAGGCGATCGAGTCACTCTTGTCCAATGCCAACAAGCTGCTCACACCCGGCTTTATCGACACTACCGGCAAGCTCATCAAGCAGGCCGGTCCCCTTATCAACCAGGCTAGCGGTCTTCTCACCGAGGGCAATGTTAAGGAGATCGAGACTCTACTCGGCAATGCTAATAGCCTGCTGACTACCAGCTTCGTGAACCAGACCACTAGCCTGATCGATGAAGCTAGTGAGCTCTTGTCTTCGGATACCGTTGACAGCCTGAAGTCTCTCCTCACTCAGCTCGCTCCTATCATTCCGGAGCTGAAGGGCCTGCTCAAGCCAGCCACTATCAAGGCGATCGAGAACGTGCTTGGCAATGCTAACAAGCTGCTCACGGACTCCTTCGTCAAGGATACCAACACCCTGATCACTGAGGCTGTTGGCCTTCTCACTCCCGACCTGGTCAAGGCTCTGAAGTCGCTTCTCAGCGACCTTACTCCATTGATTCCCGAATTGAAATCGCTCTTGACCAAGGAAATGATCAATTCGATCGAGACCCTTCTGAACAACGCCGGAGACCTGCTCACGGAAGACTTCGTCAAGGACACCAAGGGCCTGGTCAACGAGGCCGGCGACCTCCTCACTCCGGAGGTGGCCGATGGACTGAAGTCGATCCTGAAGGATGTCATTCCTCTACTGCCAGAGCTGAAGTTGCTTCTGAACAAGAGCACCATTTCTGCCATTGGTTCTCTCTTGTCCAACGCCAACACCCTATTGACGCCGAAGTTCGTCAACGAGACCATTGGTCTTGTGGACAGCGCGGACGACCTCCTGACCCCACCCATCGTAACTGGACTGAAGGACCTCCTCGGCGACGTTATTCCCCTGATCCCCGATCTCAGGAAGTCTCTGCTGAACACAACCATCATCACCGACTTGGGATACATCGTGACCAACGCTACCAATTTGCTCACGCCCGCCTTCGTCGACGATACCTCAGACCTTGTCGAGAACGCCGATGGCCTCCTGACACCGGATGTCGCCCGCACACTCAAGGATATTCTTGGATACGTGCCCGACTTGTTGCCCGAGGTGAAGAAGCTGCTCAAGCCTTCGGTTATTTCGGATGTTGGAGCGCTGTTGGAGAACGCTCATGATCTCCTCACTCCTAAGTTCGTCAATGAGACAACACTCCTGATCGATGATGTTACAAGCTTCTTGCCTTTGATCCAGGAATTGCTCAAGGCGCTGTGAGGAGTCTATGGTTTATGATTTTCTTATATTGATTGCAACGCAATTATGATCTTTAATGTTCTCTAATGATAATTAACGTTGTCTTATATTTGTTTGCTCCATGGGCTGGGTAGAGACTTGTAAGCAGGCATGAAGGCTTAAGTGAACTTCGAATAAATACCTAGAATATTCTCAAAAATACTCCGGCCTCTGCTCATCAATAGAGAAACCCAGAGCTAGGGATTAAGACTTCTTGCAGATGCTGCTAAGGCTTGTGGTATTTCTAAGGGTTTAAACAGCTGCTAGAACGTTTTCCGAGCCTTTCTTTTGGTCGAGCTAGTAGAGCTGTTCGTGAGGCTGTATATGGTTAGCGATTTTGGAATAAGAGCATCGTATCGCCTAGAATAGAATAGGCAAAGATATTAATAAACCGGGTTGTTGATAGTTACTGAACGTGAGCGCTTGAATACATACATATACGCTAGCAATAAGCGTATGGATAAGCAGAAGGATACCTGTAGAGCCTAGGAAATAACTTGAGGAGTTTGGTTTGGCCACCATACCATCGCCCAAAGGGATACGCCTGGCCCGTGAGGTTGAACGCTTGCATCAGCAGCGACCTTGCCCTTCCCAAGCCGAATCTCTTCGACTTCCTTGAATCCCATCGACAGGTAGAGAGCGCGCGAGCCTGCAGTCGTTGCCTCGAGCCAGATCGGGAGGTTCGCAGCTCGGGCGGTCTTCTGGTGATCCCGAATAATCGCTTTTGCGAGGCCTATGCAAAGGTGAGTAAGAGATGTGGTATGATCGAACCACAGATGGGAATATCTGACCTTTTCCACGGTGTTGGCGCTCGGTTCCGATACTGAAGACGTAATAGTACTGGGTCTGTCCACGGAGACCATTTCTCTTCGCATTGTCGGTCATACCAGAGAATTCGGACCAAAGGCGCTAGACAATTAATTAGGTTAGGAGTGGTCTCTGCGAAAATGTTGGGATTTTGCTTACCTTCACGCCTGGAAGTCCTATTCTCCACAGAACGCCCAGAAACCCTGCCCACAGAAGAGTCCAAACATTGTCAACGTATTCACCCGGTGGGATGAGGACAGAGGCCGCTTTCCAGCCATCGGCTTCGGTGATCACTGCGTGATTGAGCAAGGCTGACTTGACGAGCGCGGTCCAGTATGTCGGCAGATAAGCCAACCTTTCTTGCCGAGACATTCCAAGCAGCATGTACGCGATGACGGGATCGGTGTCGAAGACGCGACCGTTCAGCGCCGCGACAGACCTCAGCATACCTGTGATCTTGTCAGTATCCAAGGATCATACTTGAGGCCAAAAAACTCACTGCTACCGCCATGTGTTATTGGGACTGATGCCACAGCCATGGTGCTTGTGCTAGGTTAAGAGAGTGTTTGCATATGAACTAGGTTGATAATTGGCCATTCCAGGCGGTGGTTGAAGGCAGCCATAAGAAGAAAGTCGCAAACGTCCGCGAGGAGCTTCGTCTTATAGTTTTGGCATCGACGTCATAGGATCCTTATGTAAGCAAGTCATTGGCCCGCCAGGGTCCCAAGGTCCAATCCCGAGGTCGAGCGACTGACTTAGCTGTGCACAGGTGAGAACTATCATCTTCAATGTTTTCAAACTCTCAATCACGCCCATAGTCAGGCTAACAGTCATGTGTTTCAGTTATTGAGACTGGCTTGTTCATCTGCGCTGTGGGTACACGTGGAGCACAGTCTGTTACGAAACACTGGAGCTCCCTGAATCGCGCGGGATGCACTCGGGCCGCGCCCGCTGTCAAAATCCGGGTTCCGACATCATGATTCCTCAGGATATTGACATTAGATTGTAACTTATCAGGAAGGGCTTCACGAGTTTATAGATGTATTTGAACGAATGCGATCAGCACACAAAAGCGACATGACTGCGCAGCTGCTGGTTGAGCTGGGACAACTGTTCTGATGGATGATTCAAATTCCACAGTCGCTGCAAGGCTCGCAGCCTCGAGGGATGCCGCCGCCCAGGAGGTCCCAGAAGAACCAGAAGTCTCCGGAAATTCCTTAGACACCGAGCATGATTCGGAGCAGAATGAGTCCGAGCAATCAAGCAGCGAAGAAGACCCCCATGTTCATGTCCCTGTCACACCGTGTCGAACCCCAAAGCGGCCAAAAACCCCCAAAAAAGTCGTCCCGGAATCAAGAGTCCTACCAAGTCCTGTGATGTCGCTTGAGGATTTCAGAGAGTGCTTCGATAAGTACGAAAACGCATCGCCCGCTGACAAGAAACGGCGCCGGGAGGAAATCACGCTGGGCTGTGCTAGGTGTGTCCGGAAGCTTGAGGATACCATCCAATCGCCGCCGCCCTCATCTTCTAGAAGATCAATGACTCGTTGAATATGAGATTTGGATTATCGTTACACTGAGGTTGGATCTCCGGGGTTCAGATGGGCATTACACTCACCATCATTTCCACTTTTCTTTTGTTTCTTTGTATTAGTGTCTTGGCCCCCTCTTTTTTCATGTTGCACTTCTAACCATGTATATTGAATTCTATAGAATAGCTGCATCGATTTCATACGTCCATGTGGCTACCGGATCCGTATAGCGGACCCGCGATCATTCAGCAACAGATTTATTTCCTTTTGATATCGACTTCCTCTTTAATTTCCCTGTTCAGTAAAACTTCATCCTTGTTCACCTCGCTAAATGGATATCAAAGCCCTCGAAAACTCCTAACTTCGAAGGATCGAAACTACCTAAAATGCCGAAATATCCAATGCACGCTAGAAAAATTTATCTTGGTCACTATGGAAACCAGCCCGGCCCAGAGTGGAATAGCATCCACTTTATACCCAAATTGACAGTTTCCTGCTAAAGGAAAAGGCTCGAGTGGCCATACAAAATGCAGCGATCCAATATGAGCCAGAAGTTTTGCTGAGCTAACAGAGTGGAGGTTTGGTCAATGTTTATGACCCAGTGCTAAAATTTTCATCTAGGTCAGCATCTCAGGTCAATTTTTGTCTGAAATCCTCAGTGTCTGTCTTTCAACCCCCGTGTACATCATCGGACCAGAAGACAGGGGATGCTCACTGTCGTTGGGGCGCCTCCATCTCACACGATCGCTTCCGAAGTTGCCACAAACATCGCCGGTGCATATCTGCGAGAGAAGTCTGGTGTCATGGGTCAACCAGCTCTCTCGGTGGAGGATGAGAATGCAGTTGTTGAGCGGGTAGAGCGTTGGTTGAATCATGGATTCTTTCCTTATAACATGTTGGCAAAGGATACAGCCAATGCGTATTTCAATAATCAACCCTACAGCCGAAATAGACCAAACCTCAACGCCGGTTGGCAGAAGGGTTTCTGGATGCGTCATCGAGAACTTGCTGATCACATAGCCAAAGAGCGCAATACACTAAAATTGAAAGGTCCGCACGAAGATCGCAGAGCCTTGAAGTTCTTTCAAGCATTCAAAGATATCAAGCAGCGGTTCCAGATTTCCAACGACAACATCTATGCTATGGAAGATGCCGCATTTGTTACCACCATGTATCGAAAGGCAAGCCTCATGTTCGTTCGACCAATGAACCAACATCACAAAAGAGAAGAACGGGCATTCTCTTCGGTTATTCACTGCTGCTCGACGCGAGGAAAACATCTGCCCCCGTACATTGTCTGCAGGAGCCAGGATTCATCTCAGACTAAGAGCTTTGGTCGCATCAAGGTTTCCTTTACTCAGTCGGGCTGGGCTGAGGCGAATCATACACTTGACTGGCTGAAGACCGTTTTCGAGCCAGAGACCCGACCCAAAGGTCGGGGTGAAGCGTGGAGAATTCTGCTGATTTCCCATCGATTTCGCGTGGTCTTTCCAGCGTTCGAAAAGTTCTGCTGGGACCACAGGATCGCTTGTCTTTCCTTCCCGAAGAACGATCAAAAATTCTTCAACCCAATCGAAAATATCGCTTTTGGGCCTGTGCAAAGCAGTTATACTGATTACATGAGAAAGAAATTCTCCGATAACAATGGAAATGCCATCACACTGGAGGTGGGGGAGTTTGCGTCGTGGATTGACGGCGAGGTAGCTTCATCTAAACGAGCGGAAGAAGCTGCGGATGTTTGGCGTCAAAGCTGTCTTGTACCGCTGGATGAATTCCGGCTTCGCAACTGCCTCCAAGGCAACCGAGCTACGGCCGCGCCAGAGGACACGACTTCTATTCTTGATAGCCGTCTCTACTCTGAAGACACCTCCCCGGCAATGGCGAGAACACAGGCCATACCCCGAACAAGCGTTCCTTTACCGATCATCCCATCCACGGAGGCAATGAGCCGACACTCTACCCCCGAGTATTCACCTCCTTCACCGCGGCAATCACAGGAGAGCCAAGAAGGGGACGATAGCTCTGAATCGGAAGGAAGCCAATTCGACAGTGAAAGCGAGACTGCCGACATTCACCAGCCCATCACACCATGCAGGACACCTAGACTGCCAAAGACTCCTCGGGCCAAGACTCCAGAGACAGAACCATCTGATTCAGTTATGTCGTCCAAGAAGCACCGGGACATCTTGGATAAATGCATAGAAGGATCACCTAGAACGCAAAAGAGGTATCGTGACGACTTAATTCTGGATCGTGGGGATCTAGAGAAAGAGAATGCTCGTCTGAAAGAGAGGGTTGAGCTTTTGGAACAGTTTGCGGTTAAGAGATCGAGACTCGACTGATATGGCTTCAATTCTTGCGTGATATCCCAAAACGCTTTTTCTTTTTAATCTATTCAAAAACATTTTTGAGGTCGCTTACCTCTTTCCTTTGTATAAAATAGTTTCTGTTTCGTCAACTTCATATGTCCATGCCGGTACCGGGATCGACAATACCGGAACCGCAACCATTCAACAAATCCATCTCATTTGATATCAACTTCATCTTCAATTATTCTCTTAAACCTAAACTCATCCTTATCTGCTCTCCATTTCAAACTCTCCAACTGCACCCGTCAACAGTCCACCATGGCAACCGTCCTTCTCATCCTCGACGTCCAAAACGGGGTAATCGACCGTCTCAACAACACAGAGCCCTACCTCGGACGCCTGGCGTCAACCATCATTTCCGCACGCAAGGCAAACGTGAAAATCATCCACGTCATTACCGGCTTCCGCCCAGGCTATCCTGAAAACCACCCAAACAACTCATCCGTACCCTCTGTCGTCGCACGCGGTGAATATCTCGAAGGCCACTCATCCGTGCAAGTCCACCCAGCCATCGCACCTGCATCTGGAGAAGTGGTCCTCATCAAGCGTCGTGTCTCGGCCTTCTTTGCTACTGAACTTGATATGCTTTTGCGCTGCGCAAATGCCGAGTCTATTGTTGTCGCAGGCTTGATCACCAGTGGTGCTGTGCTATCAACTGTTCGCCAGGCAATGGATATGGACTACCGCGTTACGGTCTTGGAGGATTGCTGCATGGATCGTGATGAGGAGCTGCACCGCGTCCTGATGGAGAAGGTCTTTGCTGGCAAGACGGATGTTGTTTCGTCGAAGGAGTGGGTCCAGAATGTTTCCATCGCGGAGGAGCGCTAGATATGTCGTGGCTGGTGGTATGTACTTTGCTTTCAATGTGGAGATCTGTGGATGACCGACTCGTCTTGGACCAGACTGGCTGCGTCAATTGATTCAAGCACTCGATTCTAGTTACGCTGTGGAAAGCTCACACTGTCCTTTAAATTATTATGGGGAGCCTCGACAGGAATATTACACATTGCCTGCTGGATGAATACCTAAGCATCTATTGATGACTTAATTCACTATATCCTTATGATTTACGCTGAATTTCTGACCGGGCCAAGGCTGATCGTTGTCAGCTCAGCCAAGCCACAATGATGCACCAATCTCATGCCACCACGACGCACAGCTTAGCGGGTGTTGCGGGCTGTGCGTAACAAGGGTCTTTCAGATATTATTAAAGGGTATGTAATCCCTGGTCTATTCTAAGGAGAACTCATTAACAACCTCTCTATCTGCATTTCCCAATTATCCCAAGATGAAACCTGGTGATAACAGAATCTTCCACAGAAAAGTATTGATCCCAGATTTGAAGACTTCAAAAGTCATTCGGTAACCGTTACTTTAGATTTGGATTCCGGTACAAGTGGGGATGAGTTGTTTGAGGTGCAGCAACTCGTAGATGCAGCTTCAGACAAGGTCTCTTCATTGAACCACGTCCAACTCTCGAAGTTGAAGTTCCAGCCCGAGGTCGTCCTAGAAAGAGCGGATATACGACTTCGAGAGCGACTCTCACTCAAAAATGGACTGCAATTATCTATGCATATGGCTTCTAGTGACCTTATCTCTGCTCCGTTGGGGACATTCCGCCGCTGGTGCGAGACAGAAGACGGGAACTACATGGAATTTTCTTCCTTCAAACGACATTTTGAAGGAAAGGATGGTAATGAGCGCATATTTGCCTGCCTTGGGCCCGACTGCAATTTTACTGCACTGCAGGCAGGTGAAGTGAGGGAAAGAGGGAACATGCGCGCGATATGCACGAGCAAAGTCCGATTTCTCATCGTGCAGTCACAGTCCTCCCCCCAGCCCTTTGTGAACTGGAACGATTTCTATCAGCATGTGAAAGACACTACTTGATACAGCCTACACAGAACGATCTTACGAAGGAAGACAAAGGAGGATCCGCGATTTCCAGAGCCCAACTGGAGCAGAGGCGCCAAAGCGAGGATATGATTAAATACATCCTTGGTCAGAATGTGCAGGTGATCACGGTCGCAGCCTGCGTCGAAACGAGTAAGACCATCCCACCTCCTGTTATCAATTGATAAGATTAACAAACCGAATCGGTAGACGGTCGTCTACGTCTACAGAGACGGAGGGTATGCTTACTGCCATTGAGAAGAAATATCACGAGAGCCAAATATTGTCCCATCCCAGCGGGGAACTGCTCGCTGTCACTCAGTCGTATTAAGATCCAATCTCAGTTTCACCAGCTTTCTCTCAAGCTTGGTCAACAATACAAGGAAGGTGACTCAATTCGCTCGTGAGCAGTTGAAAGATATCATCATCACACTACAGGAGGTGTTGCTGAGACCAGTCCATGAGGCGCAGGAGCAGGGGTCCATTTTGGATCCGGCAGGGTTGCAGACAGAGTCTCAGCAGGGGCGCGTTCGCACTATCGGTATTTTAAAAGATTTGTACGAGCGAATGTCGGGGAAAATGCTGTTCAACCGTTGTGCTCGATGTCCGTTGATCCGACTGAAGGGAATTCTCCCGGAATGGACGCAGCAAGTGCTACATTACTACATGATGTTGATACGGCACTGGGGCAGCCTTTGGCTCTCGCTAGAATGGAACAACATCATCCCATCATGCACCAAACAAGACGATTATCTTTTCCTCAAAGCCGTAAGTCCTTGACTGCACTCTCAATTGCAGCCAATATCGCAACTCCGGAGGCTGGAGAGGACTCCATAGATGCAGGTTTATACTGGAGACAAAGAAGATGTACCACATTTTGGACACAGCTCGTTATTTCGGTGAATTGGACCAGCTGGAGATTGAAATTACTGACGGCTCCGTCCTGTCCTCATTGTGTGCAGATATAGTGCCTGGTGGACGACAGTAAATACCAGACAGGCCAGAGCAACCATCCTGTGGATGTCAGCGGTGCATATGAGAGAGGGCTCGGTGTTCGACATACATTCCATCAAGAACTAAAAACTCCATTTCATTCCGCATCAATTTGTTCCCCCATCCACCCGCCATCTTAGGAAGACTAGATAAAGTTAGTGATAACTTCATGTGTTATATTGAAATGGACTAGCTCACCGGTAAATACATCGAATGAGAACTTTGGTATAGGCCCCAATATCTGCAACCAATACCAACCACATTCTTTGTTGTGGCTTCTCAGTCACGGCTTCTCCTTGGAAACCTTCGCGCAGATGCTTCCTAGATGCAATGAAGAAGTCGAACGCTAGGAACCCACACACCGACTTTGTGGCAACCTGGAAGGCAATCCCAGCAATGATGATATTATTTCCCGTATTGATCATGGCTTGGTCGGTCCCCGCTACATTGGCCACTCCTCCACCAGCTGCTTGCAAAACAATGGATCCGACATCAGACCCAATGAATATCTAGGTGAAAAGTTTCGGGTTCATGCGCGAGCATTGTGGTCCAGTATAGATTATTATGTGCTTGAGGGTAAGATATATCCCAGCGGCAATGAAGGTCGGAGCGAGAATGAGGCAGAAGATCTGTAGTCGAAACCCAGACGTTGACTATGGATTGTCGTGCATGAGGATTCGTCCCACATATCCGGCGGCTTCCATGAATGTCCCAATACCAAGAGCTGCGAGGAAAGTCCATGTTCGCGAATATATCCCGAGGCCTAGTTGACAAACTCCAAGGAGGCCGAAATAAACCGTGAAAAGTATGTTGCCGCCAAGGTTGGGATAGTAGCCGTATGTAGTTGCTTCGACAGGGCATTGGGGGGTGATTTCTGTGCAAATAGTCGACATTTTGAAGAGTGGTGAATATCCAAAATAAAAAGGCAGAAGGAAGTTTGCTCCTAAGAGCCCTCCAGGGCTGATATATGCCACTAATCCTTTGTTGATCTTCCAAGGTTGGCTTGGATCGTTTGTCGTTTGTCGTTTATCGTATATCGTTTAGCGTTTAGCGTTCCTCGTTCCTCGTTCTTCGTTCCCCGCTCCTGCTCCCCCAACTCTCCCGTCCAACACCCACCATATCTACGGAGTCTGAGGTCAAATCATGCATCGTCGATTTCACAAGAAGTCCAGAAATGGATGCAATCAATGCAAGGAGCGGCGTGTCAAGGTGGGTCCATATCTGTCCGACGTCTCTCCCGTCTCCATCTCCAGGGCTGGGCGGACCAAATACTGACAACACCAGTGTGATGAGACACGGCCTCTATGTAGTGCATGCACAGCTCGGGAGCTACCCTGCGTCTATAGCACACCCTGTGCTCGAAGATATTCCCCAGCTGAGGCCTCTTTGAAACCAGAGCCGAAACCACCGGCCAAGCCAGCTTTCATATCACCAAAGTACGATGCCCGACATCTGCTGCTGATGCACAAATTCTCAACCGAAACTTATAAAAGCATCTGTGGCGACCATTCTGACATAGAGGGCTGGCAGGTCCTCATCCCCAAGCTTGCTTTCGAACATGAATTTCTCTTACATGGCATCTTTTCCATCGCCGCGCTCCACATGGCAGCCACCAACGCAGACCCAGAACAAGTTCTATCTTATCTAGACACCGCACTGCAGTGCAATGAACTTGCATTTGCTCCCTTTAGAGAGGCTTTGGCCCACCTCACCCCTCTTAACTGCGATGCGGTATTTGCACAGTCAGCGATCGTTACTATCATTGGCATAGCACTGCCTCGGCTGAACGCCCAGCATCGCGGTGAATCTTTCAGCATGATCGAAACAATGATGACGGTTTTTGAACTGCTGCAGGGGGCAAGTAAGATCTCGCAAATTAGCAAACCATGGCGACAGGCAAGCATCTTCTTCAAATACGACTGGAGAGAGAATACCACCCTGGATCCAGACGTGGCCAATGCTATCGCGCAACTGCGAATGCTGAATGGCCCGGTCGAAAACACAGACTCAGCACAACATAGCATTAACCAGGAAGCTATCGACTCCCTAGAAGACTCCTTTGCTAAATTCACCAATGCGCCGCATCCTGCACCTATCTTGGCTTGGCTCACCTACGTCAAGAGGGAATTTGTGGATGGACTACGCGTACGGCAGCCATTCCAGTTGTTGATCCTCATGAATTGGGCAGTTCTGTTAAATGAATTAGAAGCCAGCTTTTGGTGGGCTAAGGGCTGCGGGAAGGCACTAGTCGCTGAGTTATTGAGTGAGCTGAAGGACCAGAATGAGAAGTGGAAATCGGCACTGCAATGGCCGCAGCAAATGGTCGGAATATAATAGATAGCAAATCAAATTGGCGGAGTACCTATCTTATTCAACTAGGCTAAGTCTTGCAATCCAAGAATTCCTGGGTCCCTTCGATGTGACCAGCAGCTGACTATGCTAGCAATCTCTTGAGAATGAGCTCGCAAAGCGACACCAAGGTCTTGGCCCCCACGATATCCAACGCACTGGTCTCAATACCGAGTTCCGACCGGGTCCAATTTCGCAATTCAACTGCGACCAGGGAATCGATTCCGTAGCTGGCTAATGGCCGGCTTATTTCCAACGGGGTCTTCAAACCAAGACTGCGCATCAAAACTGCATTTACAACCTCCACGGCTGATGTTAGAAGCGCCGGGTGGTCCACGCTTTCACTGGGGGAAGCCGCTGCATTCTTAAGTGTGGCCAAGTGGCTCTCTTGGCTGTTGCCTCCTACAGCACAGGTTGCTGCGGCCGTCGGCCTCAATGCGCTCCACCGGTGGACTGGTTACATAGGTGCAGTGGGAACGAGAGGGACGGGGATACCGGTGATGAGCTGTGAGATGGTATCGGGGTTGATCGGCAATCCTGTCTGTTGGAGCATCGAAAAGCGTAAGATTTTGTACAAGAGAGCTTCATTTATGGGTGTCCAGCCCTGCGATTTCAATCCACGACTGAGATTGTCGCGGTCTGTGAAGTATCCTACATCCTCAATCACTCCCAAATCCACAGAGCATGCTGGGAGACCAAGGGAATGTCGGTAGACTGCAAACGAGTCCTGAAAGACGTTACCAGCACTGTAGTTGGCTTGGGCCCTTTGACCGACGACACCACTCACACTGGACAGGAGAGTGAAGAGGTCCAGCTTGAGGTTGTGCTCTATGGCCAGGTTGTGCAGGTTCCAGGTTCCGACTACCTTGGGATCGATGGGCATCCGGAACTCATCCGGCGTCATCCTGGAGAACATTTTGTCCTAGCTTTGTTAGTCCAGCAGGTCTGTACTCAGGGGGCAGACTTACTCGCAAAACCATCGCACCTTGGATAATTCCGCCGACCGGCTTCTTGGTAGAGGCGAAGGCTCGTCGTACGTCCTCGACATCGGTGATGTCGCCTTGAATCAGGTCTACGTGTGTTCTCATCGCCTTGAGATGGTAGATGAATACTTTGAGAAGCAGGATCATCGTATCCACTACGGGACATGACCGCGATATTCTTGGCCCCGACGCGGGATAGGTAGAGGGCGAGACTTCCACACAGGCCCTTGAATCCGCCGGCAAAGGGTATGAAACATCATCTCTCAGTTTCAGAACGGGAAGGGCGGAATGATCTGAATTATTAGTCCGGTCTCAACAGCGAGCGTGGGGTGGATGGACGTACTGGTACTCGAACATCATCACGGTTCTCATCCGACACCACGATCTTGCCAATATGCTTTCCATCTCGCATGTAACGGAAGGCATCTGCAATATCACCAAAGGAGAATGTCTTACAGATGGGAAGGGGCTTGATAATACCATCGTTGAAGAAGGCGAAAATTTGCTTCATCAAGCGGTCGAATGTGGGCAGGAAGACCGCCTTCAGTGACAGGTCGAATGACCGATATGAAGCATTGTGGCTGAATGATGTTATAAGATGGCATAGATGGGGCCCATCGAGAGAGGGGTCTATCTACTGAATTGGACAATCTTTGCGCCATACACTCCACCATGTCTCAACAAGATATTGATTTCAAGACCATGGATGGTCTCACTCTTCGAGTCGAATGTACATCGCCTCGAGTCGAGGACCTGGTATTGTGATGAGCCCGGGGGTAAGCGCGACATCACCCCGTCTGACATTTCCTAACTAATGTCGGCTAGTTCAATGGTGTGAAAGAGATGGTGGGCTTGCCAAACGTGGCTTAGCCTTTCAGCAGTCTGGAATAACAGTGCTCATGTATGATCCACGAAGCACTGGACTTAGCAATGGCGAGCCGCGCAACAACATCGACCCCTTCACGCAGATTGACGACTACTCGGATGCGCTGAGCTTTCTGGCAGTTCATCCGATGGTGGATCAGGCCCGCATGGGGATTTGGGGCATATCTCTTTCTGGGGCCATGTCACTAGCCTGTGCAGCAGTCGACCCACGCGTCCGCTTCGTCGTCGCCGTCTGTCCAGCTTCGGAGTATTCCTTTGCGCAGGCCAAGATACCCGGGGTACTTGGCAAAATTGCGAAGGATCGGGAGTCCTAGCTAAAGGGCAACGATCCATTCTATCTCCCGATGCTCAACCGAGCGGGCGAGAATCCAGCTGGGTTCAATTTGGGCGTTGACAAGGGCGCCGCTCTGCGCATCCTCAGCGCACAGGATGAAAATAACCCCACACGCCAAGCATTGGCTGCCAACCGTGTCAATCGTACGACCATACAGTCTTACCGGAAGCTCCTAATGTGGAGTCCAGCTCCGATCTATAGGCATCTGGCTGTGCCGATGATGTTTGTGGTGCCGGAGTTGGATCAGCTCATCTCTGCTGCAAGACAGCAGGAGACGTTCGAGAATCTCCCGGGAACCATGAACCAACTCCACGTGGAACACGGAGTAGGCCACATGGATGTTCTCGAGGGAGAGCAGTTGCCGGATCTGATGAAGCGGAAGTTGCTGTTCATCCAGAGGGTTGTAGGTTAGTGAAAGAGGAGAAATCAATCTGATTGGACCGTGTGGCTTGTGCTATCCATGGATATCCGAACCATAAGCGATATACGATATACGATATACGAGACTGTACGAAGTAGAGACAGTCAACCTTCCAAGATCGGAAGGTTTTTCATTATTTTCACAGTACTCTGTATATTTATTCTACGTTGTCTGTCACTTGGTTATTCTCCTAATCTTCTGGAAAATCTTGAAAGTCTTCATGAAAATGGACCTGGTCCCTTCTCACCCAGAGTCAAGCCCGAGCTCCCCAACCCCGACCTCAGATCGATCGTTTTTGCAAACATTTACCATTCTGACTGCCCTATGTGCAGGAGTATTTGTGGCTGCTCTTGATGTCACTATTATTACGACAGCCTTGCCGTCGATTGCCGCACATTTTGAGTCTAGTTCCGCCTACACATGGATCGGCAGTTCCTACATTCTGGCCAACACGGCCACCATACCCGCCTGGGGTAAGATTTCGGATATCTGGGGCCGAAAGCCGTTGCTACTAGTGGCAACGGTAATTTTTTTCAGCGGAAGTTTGATATGCGCAGTCGGAAATACGATCGCACTATTCCTGTTTGGTCGGGCCGTCCAGGGGCTAGGAGCGGCCGGTCTGATCACCCTCGTAAATATTTGTATCAGTGACTTGTTCTCTCTCAGAGACCGTGGGCTGTATTTTGGCCTCATTTCTGTCGTATGGGCCCTCGCCAGTGGAGTAGGTCCAGTCCTCGGTGGGGTGTTTACTGAAAAAGCAAGGTGTGTACTATCATATTCCATTTCAGCCTTTCATATCCCTGCCAACTCACGGTTTCAAACTATGTACGTATGCACAGTTTCGATGTTTTCCTATTTTCATGCCAAAGGAAGGGGCCGCTGGCTTCTTTTATTGAATCCACCTATATCTTACATGTTACATTTCATATCGCTCACTTGTTCTAGTTGGCGCTGGTGCTTTTGGGTCAATCTCCCAGTCATTGGACTAGTCTTCTTGTTATTATGGCTTACTCTCAAGCTTGAATCACCCGATACCCCAATATGGAGTGGCCTGAAGGCTGTCGACTGGACGGGATGCTTGTTCGTCATCGGTAGCACCATCATGCTTTTGTTAGGTCTCGACTTTGGGGGTGTCTCGCATCCTTGGAACTCCGCCACAGTGATATGTCTCATCGTCTTTGCCGGTGTGCTTCTAGGTCTGTTCGTTGTCAACGAATGGAAACTGGTGAAGTACCCCGTCATTCCACTAGTCCTATTCCATGATCGCTCCGGTATCGCTTCTTTCCTGGTCTGTTTTTGCCATGGCTACGTCTTTATGGGCGAAGCATATTATCTCCCGCTATACTTCCAGGCGGTCCTCGGCTCTAGTCCGATTATGTCCGGGGTTTACATCCTTCCGTTTGTCTTGGCTCTCACCGTTTCAGCTGCATTAACTGGACTCTTTATTCAAAAGACAGGAGTATATGTCCCAGCGATGTGGTTGGGGCTAGTTGCTATGACGTTGGGGGTGGGTTTGCTGATCAACCTCGAGGTTACCGCCAACTGGGGCAAAATCATGGGTTTCCAGGTCATTGCCGGCACCGGCATCGGTCTGAATTTTGAGGGCCCATTGTTGGCTCTCCAAGCAATTGTTGGGGCTGAGAATACAGCAACCGCCACTGCGACCATTGGATTCGTACGGACCCTGTCCACCGCGATCTCGGTCGTCATCGGAACCGTCGTGTTCCAGAATCAGATGGCAAGAAAAGGATCCCAATTGGTCTCCACTCTAGGCAAGCAACTAGCCAGTCAAGTCTCAAGAGGCGCAATGGCTAATATCGAGGTCATCGATACACTCTCCCTGGATCAAAAGCTCGTGGCACGACAGGCCATTTACGAGTCATTGCAAACGGTCTGGATTATGGTAAGCTCCAGTTTATGATAAAAGGAACGCATGCTTACTCGTCTGTGTAGTATGTTGCATTTGCAGCTGTGGGGCTAGTAGCAGGGGCATTCGTTGAGGGCCATCATCTGGACACAGAGCACAAGGCACCAGTGCTCGGTTTACGAGATGATAATGAAGGCTGAAGGATTGGGGTGAGATTGCGAGCGAATAGTGTCTAGATGAAGTGTCTGAAATAATCTTCGCACCAATCCCAGAACCATTTTGGACCCATATCCTCCATAGCCGCTACAATGTCCCTCGGCGGACACTCATTCCACTATCTTACTCGGCCCCATGGAATCACGTATCGTGTATCTCCAACCAACAGAACTTTGGAGAACCCTGCATACACCATCGTATAGACTCCGAATCTCTTATCATACAATGTCGGCCGCACCAGCATCATCAACCACCATGGCTGATGCTTCCACACTTCTGTATCCAGCTGTGCCGGGTTTTGCGCGACGCTCACAATTCCGTACTCTGCATACCGTCTCGCACCTTCTAGCGCCAACCACCAGTTTCCAACCTTTGATTGAGCATAGTCGCTAGGAGGATCTTGCGTGATCCCGCGATCCACTCGATCTGGCCTAATGCCTCCAACAGGAGCATGTGACTCGATACTCAAACTGGCAGTCCAAACGATCCGCACACTTGCGGGGGCGCTATCCTGAGCTGCATTGCGTAGCATTGGAAGAAGAGCCTGGGTGAACATTAAGGGGCCAACACAGTTTACCCCAATATGTCCCTCAATGCCCTGCCGGGTTGTAGTCCCAATGGGAGTGAGGGTGTTGACGCATTCTTCGTGCCGGACTTTACTGAAGTCGACAATAACGTTACAATTCATGTCTCTCCACAATTAGCTCGTGAAGACTGGTCCGCACTGGTATTTCACTTCCCAGGAATGGACCATGTCGGCCATACCGGCGGACCAGAGAGGTTGGTCTAAGTCAAGGTTCATCTCGATGGTTACTCACTCATCGTAGTCCCTATATGGTTCCGAAGCAACAAGAGATGGACTTTATTATCCGTGAGATATATACAGCCATCGAATCCCAGCCTCATCTCAGTTCGACCCTCTTCGTCGTAGCTGGCGACCATGGCATGAACCAACAAGGGAGTCATGGTGGATCCTCCGCGGGTGAAATCTCCCCAGGGATGCTCCTGATTTCTCCTGATTTGAAATCGCTCCGTAGCGACAGAAAAGCTCCAAGTGCCCCTCGTGGCACTGGATTTGACTTTTACTCTGTCATCAAACAACCCGATATCGTCCCCACGCTGGCCGGTCTGCTCGGTTTTCGAATCCCTAGCAAGAGCGTGGGACTGTTCATGCCACAACTCCTATCCCTTTGGGAAGACCCGTCTGATCGTGTACGGTTAGTATTGGAGAACGCTCATGAACTACTGAATGTTAGGGGACACCATGTCGATCACCCGTATCACATCACTCTTCAAAGAATTGAAGATCGAATTGTTTCGGATCCAAGCTCAACGGAAGCCTTGTCGGAATTATACCAGGTAAATCTGCTTGATGTCCACTATCCATCTGATTGAAGTGACTTATCCTATCTAGTGGTGTTATCAAATGCAGAACTCATTGGGCATGGCAGCTTGAAGTCTAAACTTCTGTCTGCTCTCCGAGGCCTTCTGAGTGCAGTCAGCGTTAGCATATTATGCCTCAATGTCCTCTCCTCTCCAATGGGCACCTCGAAGTCAAACACCTGGTTGTGTCAACGGTGTTTGCTGCAGTCTACACCGGAGCTATGCTTTCCGAGAAATATGTCACGCAAGAACATAACTTCTGGTACCCGGTCTCTCTGATCTGGTTTGGCTATCTTAGCTACTCTAGGGACTGGAACTACAGCCCTTTCGGTCGTACGCTTCTAATCCTAGTGCAATTTTTGGTTCTGTCCTGGACGCAAAGTGGAGATGCAACCGATATGCTGCCAGAAATATTTCAGACGCTCCTTTCTCGGTACCCTCTGATCCTCCAGATAATGTTGAGTTGGGCTTATGTTTCCATTGCCGTCCGGCTGTATGGATCGCTGGGAAGTGCATGTGGCTTCACCATCGTTCCCAAAATATGGGCTACGTCTCTCGGCGCCCTGCCACTCTTACTGAAGTTCGGTTCTGCTTCTCTCAATACCCCTGACCTAGTTATATTCACCTCTCCGCATCTCCTTTACTGGTTAGCGCAGGTAAATTTGAACTCCACTGCCAAACTGGTCTTCTCAATATTGGCCGGCACTCTGGTTTACTTGCTAACACTGAAGGGCAAATGTAAACGGACGGAAGGTAGAGGCCTTCGTAAACACTGTGTGTTCTCCTGCTGATTTTGTACAGACCTTGCCGGCATTCATCATGTCCTCGCCATTTACATAATGACGCAGTCCAGACCTCGGAATATTCCTTTATTCCTGGTTTTCCAATGGCAGCTGAAATGGTTGAGTTAGTACCACCTTTTCTAGTCAAGCTAGTCACCCTCTAACTTTCATTTGTAGTTTCAGCCCCCTCAACTTATTCTGTATTCGAGATTGCTTTGTCCACCACCATCTTGTCCCAAAGCTCTTTCTTTGCATTTGGTGGTAGCAACACCATCGCTTCAGTCGATTTAACAAATGGCTACAATGGTGTCGCATTCGATTGCGGTGGTACTGCAGACGCTTTTCGCCAATTGGGCAGGTCCTATCTGGTGGGCCTGCGCGGGAATAAGGTTCCTAGAGATCACCATTCACCAAAGAGCATCTCAAGTTCTATCTCCGAAGAAAAGTAATCAGAAAGACAGGACGAGGGTCGGAAAGCCCAGTTCAACATTGATGGCTTATTTGGCTATTCAGACACTGTTTATTTCCATCAGTCTTGCTGCTGTTATGGTTGCATTTGTTGTTCTTTGGGATTCATCCATGATCTGGGCAGCTTTAGCTCCCAAGTATATTTTCGGCGGCTTATGGGTGGTCTTATATCATGTGCTTGTCACCGTTGAACTATTTGGTGCTGTTGGGAAAGCAGTACTTGCGAGTTGACTTCGAGGTCACCGTCATTTGTATTGAATACTAAACCACGGGAAAAGAAAATCTAATAGATGGCTAGGTATAGAAGAGAGATACGTCAAGCACTTTTTTGGTTCTTATAATCCGAATTGTCTATTTATCAGACCTACATGTAAGTAGAGACATTATAGAACCAAGGTGATAGATAGAGTGGTCCCAAGAACCCGCCATTAATGGGTTGGTCTCACTAAAGTGCTCTTTCAAACTTCAATCCAACAACATAAGGTGCGTAGAGTCACAACCTATTGCCGAAGATTTCCTCTTACTTGCACCTGATTGCAGTAACTTCGTTATATTTGCGTCTAGGTGACAGCATCTATTTACAGGGCTCGGCCTCTCCATCTCCTTTCACATATAATATCTATAACTTCACCTGCCCTCGCTCCTGAGGACCCGCGCAGCAGCCCGGCTCGGGGTGCAAGGTCGACTGGTTAAAAGACTGGCTCGAAGCCGGCACATCCAGTGCAGGGTTCTTAGTGAAGAAGCCATCCGGCTTGAGCATCACGCTGACACGCTCCATGGGCATAACAGGGAAGTCCTCAATGCGTGGGTTATGAGTGAGGCCGAATGCTGGAAGCAGTTAGCTACTATCGCAGGAGAGGTTAGATGGGATAACATACTGTGCCAGAGAACAACATCTTCGTTTTCGACTACGTCGTTCCTTCCAGCCCACACTTCCACGCCTTCCGACTTCTTGCTCTGGTTTGTGAACTCGCCAGCGGCGAATAGCTCGTCGTCTTGGTATTTAGTAACCCAGATAGGGCGGGTCGCGAAACGGGCGCGCTTCGAGCCAAATGAGTTCGGGTGTGCGAGAAGCATCTGACTTGGCATTGTTTGCAGCTTGTATGCGATGGGGTGGTGGGTGATGGGGTTGACGATCGAGTCGTTCCGGATCTTGAAAACGCGGTTGCGGTCGATGCTGGTCGAGGCACTGCCGCTGGACTTGATGACGTTCTTTTCTGTGGTGTACCCGACGAGCCATGGGTTGCTGTCATCCTCGGGCATAGGCACGCTGTCTTCGTAGTAGATTGTGTTCTTGTAGCCGTCTATAGCAGGGTCGATACGGAGGGAGAACATATGCTGGTGGAATGGGGCCATAACACCTGGTCCGACGTTCGTGCCCCATGGCACGGTTTGGCCGTTGTCATTTTCGAAGGGCACAGTTGAGAGGATACCGGTTGCGCGCACCTCGAGCTCAATATTGGCTGCTTGGTCGAGGATGAAAGCGAATATGTATTCGTAGTTGGCAACGGTGCAAATCATCTGAACCACGAGCTGGCGGTTACGGACGACAGTCGCCGCGCCAGTGCGATAATTAGTGTGCTTATGTTGCAGCCCATTATCCTGCTCGTGCATGCAGATGACATCCTTTAGTTGAATTGGTGCTCCCTGTGCATCCGTGCGATAACCATCGAAATACTTGATGTGGCCGAGACAGTCGCAGCCGAGACTCAGTTGGTTAGCTGTGATACCAAAGCCGACGTCGCCCACGTCAAAGGCTTGCTTGCGGTGGTAGGGAGCACGGGGATCTAGAATGAATTAGATGAGTTGCGAGAGAAGAGTAGTAGAACATACCGGCGTAGGGGACTGTCATCTCAGAGACTGACAGACGGTAGAAGGTGTTGCGACCATCGTAGGTCACATTGTGTAGCACCAAACCCTCTCGGTTGTTGAAGCCCACTCTGAAACGCCACTTCTGCCATGACACGGCATTCCCAATGACATTAAATGACGCTCCCTCTGGCTGCTGGACAATGTAGGGCTTCAGATCGGTGCGCAGAGGCTCATCGAGCAAGTCATGCGCGTATTGCACCGTAGGCACCTGCTTCCAGGGCTGCGTCTGAGTGCTTTGAGTATCCGCTCCGCCAGGCAGATAATCCATGCGGACCAGTTTGCGACTGATGCCATCGAACACCGGGGAAAATTTGCAAGGGAGCGAGTACTGGTTGTTCTGGGGGTGGTCGGTGGCCACAATGTACATATAGCACTGGAACAAACGCCGTGTCTCGTTGGCATCATCGGTGCCGTAGATCCACGGATCCAAGCAGACAGTGTGGCCAGTGGGAAGCTTCAACTTTTCAACCTCGGCCTTGACAGCTGGATGACTGAGACAAAGCTCCTCAATTTCCATCATTTCATCGACGTCCAATGGACCCTGGACGTCCTTGGGCAGCTCTTTCGCTGACACGATGGACTTGGTGTCTGCATTGATCAGAGCCTTGAAGAAAGACCCATTATCCAATCGGTGGAAGAGTGCCATCAGCAAGCGTGCCGGCTTAAGCGGGCGCACTTCACCTCGGCGCTCAGCCTCAAGGAATGGGACAACCTCATGCTTGGCGGGTTCTTGGAGATCGATGCGTTTGTAGCGAAGCTTAGCAGCGGGAAAAGCGGATTCAAGAACGGAGACCGCCAATTGAATCTCCCCAGGTGTGATGGGGTCAAAGGGGTGAAGGCTCGCCATTATGGATAATGTTCAAGGCAGAAGGGTTCCTCCAAGCTGGGTATGCAATGCACTTATATTCACTGGTCATCCTCTTGGTTTCCCTTCTGGGTAAATCTTTCGCGCTGTTGTGGAGATCTGATTGGCCAGTTAGACAATGGCGCATCTTTTGCTCCAAATAGTTTAGCGCGCATTCTTGATAAGCTGGCCGGAATGTGATTGGTGGATTGTGGGACTGGGGATGGATGATTTGGAGAATATGATCCTCCAATTTCTACTCCGTACCTTAGTTATAGACAGAAACATTTGTGGCCAAAATGAAGATTTCAGTAACGTATTTCACAAGCGAGTGACGCAGTCAGAAACACATAGTAAATGCGATAAACTACAACCTTAGATGTCAACAACAACGTCCTTGTTTGATTTCATATTTACTCGATAGCTGTTGATAAGAATTTTAAATGATATATATCGATTTCAAGGCAATGAAAAAGTTGCAATATTATGGTACCGAAAATTACATCGCTCTAAGCCAGAAATATATATCCTCATCACCACGTTATAAAAATTCTCTAAACTCTATAGTGAGGCTAGATATTACCTGAAAACAATTAGCCTACAAGGAAACGCCCCAATAGACCACCGTTGTTGAGATATCAAGTTGTAATTTATCCCATTTACTATGTGTTTCTAACTGCGTCACTCGCTTGTGAAATACGCTAGAAATGAAGCTTCTTGTGGCCTTGTGGGTCAGGCTACAATTTTCGTCGCCTGCTTGCTCCAATATCCGCCTACAACCGTGTGAACCCTTTTCTACCGAGTATAATAGTTGTCAGATACTCCCCAAATACTGCTCGGTATGAGTCGTATACATATTCTACTAAATCCTTCCCCGGGCAAAGTCCCAATATGGAAAATTTTGGATCACAACGCCGAATATATATAAAAGGTGTCTGAATATCCTTTTCGTTTCTGGAATATCCAAGCCGACGAATGTGTTCAGTCCATCAACTCTTCTATCTACAATCGTATTTAATGCACATGTGATAGGTAATTATCTCGATGTTGGGCACCGTTGCTTGAAACCTAGTACAAATAGTACACGAGCGTAACGTAACTCACCCTTTAGGAACAAGTGCGGGTTGACTCAGTGGGTATTTAAAGGATTAACTCGAATATTTAGTATCCAAGGAGCTTTCAAGGAGCTTGTTGTCGAGCATCGTAGCGAACGAAGCACAAAATAACCTTTGGTAGCTCCATGTTCGAGGGAGAGTGAGCTTGGCAAGGCTGTCTTGAGTATGAGTTTCACTTAAAATTCCCAGTGATCAGGCAGTAAACATTTCATTGACATTCCGTTCTGTCCCTGCATGCACAGATGGGCTCTCTGTGGGTATAATGTGTTCAATTTACCGAAGTTTCCATAGTGACTAGCCTTCAACCTCCGATAAAACAAATGAATAATCTCCAAAAATTCATATCAGACATGGTAAAGCTCATCAGAAAGCCGTGGGTCCAGACTTAAGCCTTGACCTCTTCCTTGACATAGTTATTCTCACCGCCGCTTCCTGAGCCCGACCGATCGGGAGTACCGGCGCGGATAGTCTTCTGCATGCGGCGTGCCACGCGAGGCGGGTCAAAGATGTTCTTCGACTGGGCAAAGATTTCATCGATCTCCTCAAGCGACCGACCCTTGGTCTCCGGGAAGAAGAAGTACACGGATGGCACAATGGCCGCATTGATAACCGCGAAGATAACGTAGTAGTAATTGTCAATGCTGTTGAAGCCGATGGGAGTCACTTCAGCGAGCAGGAAGTTGAAAACCCACACAGTGGCAGTGGAGAGGGCACTGGTCGCCGCACGGACCTGTAGAGGAGCTAACTCGGCGGCGTATAGGAAGGTCAGGCCGGAGTATCCGACTGTGAAGATAAACTGGAAGCAGAAAAGCGCAATGACGGCGACCACCAGGGCACCAGTGTTGCCCTCAGCCTCTGGTGATGTTGTACCGGCAAGAATGGCCATGCAAATAGCCATAGCTCCTGCACTCCATGTCATGAGTGGGCGGCGACCGAGGCTATCGATAGTATAAAATGCGAGCAGGCCGCCGAATGGCTGCGTCAGACCCATTGACGCGGCGAGGATACGGGATCTCACTTCGTCCATGCCAAGATATTCCTAGGGTGCTGTCAGTCAATGATACACTCAAACACATAAGTCACATCCGGGAATCCAGCATAGCCGGTGTATATAAAACGAGAAGCCAACAGCATTAACTCACCTGGAAGATAGTTGTCGCGTAGTAGGTAATCAAATTCACACCGCACATCTGCTGGAAGAACTGACCTGTGCAGGCGAGGTATGCACGGTGGAAGAGACGCTGCTCGTCCATTGTGAATACGGCGGTCCAGGAAGTATTTCCACAGACAGCGAGAGTAGTTTGAACATCATTAATAACATCCGTGATCTCGTCCGAATCAGGCTCTAGCTCGAGAAGAGCCGACATCACCTTCCGGGCCTCTTGAATTTGGCCGGTCATGATCAACCAACGGGGGGATTCTGGGAGCATTGGGATGGAAACCATAGCCATGATACAGAAAAGCGACGGGAAGGCAAGAGGGAATCGCCATGATGCGGAGTTACTTTTCACGAAGTAGAGTCCGAGATCAATCCAGAGCCCTAGGCTGACTCCGGCACCGACAAAAATGCCATCTGTAACGACGTTCGAGCCTCGTTTATGTGCTGGTGAGATCTCAGACTGCCAAACTGGCACGGTAGCGGTGTACCCACCAATACCCGCACCAAGAATTAGTCTTGCGACGATAAACTGGGCGAAATCGAAGGAGGTTGCCATGAGAATGCAGCCAATCATGCAAACCAAATTGGCCCCGAAGATGACTTTCTTGCGCCCTAGTCGATCACCAAGATAGGCGCATGACAAGGCTCCGAAGATACCACCGACGGTGTAGAGAGCAATTACTGTGCCTATTCATGCACAGATTATTAGAATATACAGAGATATAGAGAAGTTGTCTTCATATTGACCGACCTTGAATTGTCGAGTTTTCCGCTTTCAAGCCTCCCTCCGTGTTGATAGTGTCCATGCGAGGGAATTGTTTATTGAAGGCCGGGAGTGTCAAAAGGCCACCGGCCACACTCATATTGTAGCCATAGCAGGTGAAGGTTGGGAATACGACCAGTGCGACTGCTGCTCTGAGGAGTGCATTGCCGCGAAGGCCAAGATACGGCTTCAACCCCATGCTGGAATTGTACAAGAGATAGACAAAGGATGAAGAGAGTGGATTGGGAGAAGTGGATGTGAAATTAACCAGTGCGATAAGCGACTGCACGCTATTATATCAATAATATCGTAGCGTGGTTTTGATATGCAAGACGGTGAGCATTGATGCAGAGTATGGTGGCTTGGGAATCCGGGGTCAAAAATCCGGGGTTGAACTTTCGGCCATCGGCGGTCACCGTCAAGTCAGGAGCCAAGAAACTGCTTAATGGAGGCTCAATTCGGGTGAATAACGAAGGCATAGTAGGCGAACAGTTGGCACTTTCACGTTAAGAGACGAGCATCTTCCGGGCGCCATCCTCCGGCCGGCGGACATGTGGTCTTTACGCCTACACGAAAATAAAGAGGAATTGCCAGTCGCAGGCGGAGGATGGAGGATTGAGGTTGGCCAAAGATAAAATTGGATCGGCGAAGTTATGTAAGTGGATTGCCTTCCCGAGGTCGTTCCGGTCGTATCGCAGGGAGTAACGAATAATCTCGGTGTGAGTTGCCTCCACTGCGGACACAATCTCTTGATTTCCACGATGCCAACGGCCTAAATAGGGATCGTAGGCTACAAAACTAGGGGATAGTGGGCAAGATAGATTATTTGGTCCGAAGGGCTGGCTGTGGCGCTGCAGCCTCCCTAAAGAATGTTTAGCGTGTTGTGACGATGCAACGATGCATCTTCCAATCCATATCTGCCGGCATATGCAGTACCAATCATCCCGTCTCTTCCAAAGCTCCATTCTTTCCACATACCATCAGCATCAGTCATCAACCCCTCACGTGGCAGTGACAAACCCCGTCGAGGCCCGAGCGGGGAGGCTAAGGACTTCCAAGGTTCGCCTATTCTTGGACTTGCCCTTCTCGTGGCCCCGCCATCGTCAATCAGTCGGAGGCAGCCGAACACCGAGTCCAGAACACTTGAAGATAATTGTGATCGTCAATCATGTTCAATCATGTTGGCCTTGTTATCTCCCAACTACCAAAGGAGCCATAGCGATCACCAGATGATGCTACCGCGGGGATATCCAATGCAGCAGGTGCAGCCACCACAATCCACGGTTCATCAATTTCAGATTAATTGACTTCTGATACGACCTTCGTGATGTGCCATCCCGTATCAATTCCGGGGCATAGATCAGTATATATCAAGGTGCGTTGTCCTCGAGATGGTGGGGTTATCCAAGCAGTGAGAATCGATCTACATTTGTTTTCTCTATGTTCCTAAACTCCTTCAGATCTTCGGTGGGGGTGTCTGCATTATGGCTGTCTTCTCTGGTGCTGTCTGCCTGCGGTACCATGGCTAGAGCAACTCCGTACACCATCTATCGCGGTACATTCGTTCAGCTTCCCCAGCTTGATTCAAGCTCGGCCAAGCCGAAGCTAGCTCGAACCCAAGGTATCCTGTGGGTCTCTTCGGAGGATGGCCGTATCAAAGGATATGATTGGCAAGTCAACGATGATGCCAGCTTCCAGTCGTTCCTATCTAGCCACGGCTGGAGCGAGGCCGATGTTACAATTGTGCAGTCCAATGATGAGCAGAACGAGTTCTTCTTCCCCGGATTCATCGATACCCACATCCACGCGCCGCAGTACCCGAATCTGGGGCTGTTCGGATCAAAGGGCCTCCTGGACTGGCTGAACGAATACACGTTCCCAGTGGAAGCTAGCTTTGGCTCCAAGTCGGACCCAGAGAACAAGGACACCGATCCTAAAGACACACCCCCGGACGGCCTACGGGTCTACGATGAAGTCGTTACTAAGACTCTTGCCCACGGCACAACTTGCGCATCTTACTTCGCGACCATCCACGTCCCGGCAACCAATGCTCTCGCAACGCTTTGCCATAAACACGGCCAGCGCGCCTTCGTCGGCCGCGTCTGCATGGACGACCCCGATCAGTGCCCGTCTTATTACATTGACCAATCTGCCGATGAAGGGCTGAACGCAACGATTAGGACTATCGATTATATCCAGAAGCTGGACCCTAACGGAACATTGATCAACCCAATCGTCACCCCCAGATTTGCCCCAAGCTGCTCAAAGCACTCTCTTGATGGCCTTGGAAAACTGGCTGCATCCTATGACCCGCCCCTGTGGATCCAAACGCATATCTCAGAGAACAAGGACGAGGTTGAACTCGTCCAGAATCTGTTCCCAGAGTCATCCAGCTATGCCGACATCTACGACAAGGCTGGCCTACTTACCAACCGTACCATTCTCGCGCACGGTGTGCACCTCACTAAGGAAGAGATTGCTCTGATCCGCGAGCGCGGCTCTAAGGTTTCGCACTGCCCAGCATCGAACTCCGCCCTAGGCTCAGGACTTGCTCCTGTCCGCTTCATGCTCGACCAAGGCGTGGCGGTTGGTCTGGGTACGGATGTGGCCGGCGGGTACAGCGCCAGCATCCTTGAAGTTGCCCGACAGGCCAGCCTGGTGTCTCGAGTGGTTCAATATAGCGCTGAGTACCAAGAGCTGACGGGCGACAAGACATCAGACGGAAGCGAGAAGCTTTTGGTCGATGACGTTCTCTATCTAGCCACTCGTGGCGGTGCTGCAGTCGTCGACATGGCGGATGACATTGGTGGCTTCGATAAGGGGATGATTTGGGATGCGCAGCTGATTGAGTTGGGTGCTGTTTTGAAGAACAGCTCCACGAGCCCACTTGATGGGGCTACTCTCTCTCGTCGAGATATCGAGACGGGCTCTGTGAGCAATATTGATTTGTTTGGAAATGAGACTTGGCAAGAACAGATCGAGAAGTGGATGTGGAGTGGTGATGATCGGAACGTGAAGAATGTGTGGGTTCAGGGAAAACTGGTCCACACCAGAGATGAGTGAGTTTGGTTTGATTTGTGTACGTATTTCAACTTCATTTTGATGAATTTGCACGTTTCTTCCGTTGGGGTAGTCGTTACATATGAGAATTTAGTCCATTTGGTCGCATACTCAACACCTGCAGCACTGGTGGCAGAGGACTAAAGATCCAATGTCCCACTTTCGTATTGTGGTCTAATGAAGATGTTACTGTCACTGCTTCCGAAAAGTCTTAGCTTCGAGGTTTTTGTAAATAGTCCCATCTATATCAAGATCTGCTGGTATGTTCAAAAATGTTAAGAAGCAGGCGCATTTCTTCCCTAGAGACTTGTTTGGGGAATTTGCCGATCACTTAACTATGAAGGAATATTTACTCCTCAGCTGGGCACTCAGGCAGTAAACCCTCCATCAACCACCAACGCCGCTCCACACATGTAGCTGCTCGAGGAAGAACAAAGGAAGAGCATCGCATCGGAAATCTCCTCCACCTGCGCAGGCCGACCGATGGGTGTCATCTCAAACTGTGCGTCCATTAAACCAGACTCGATCTGTTCCTTGATGATCGGAGTGTCCACAAAACTAGTTTATGCTGTCAGTACCAAAAATTGACACGGAATGGTTATATACATACCCAGGGCAGATGGCATTGATACGAATCCCATCTCGGGAGTATGCTTTGGCGTCCTATCATGTCATTAGCAAGTTAAATTGCGTAGTTTACGGAACCCTACCATTTTGGTTAGTCCGACAACAGCGTGTTTCGCTGCGGTGTAGTGAGGAATCCCGAATGGACCGGGGGGCCCGCCAACGCCAAACATGGAGGAGACATTAACAATAACTCCACGGCCTTCGCGTGTGCCACGCAACCTATACTTGCATTAGAAACACCAAGGAGAGAAGAAAGGTCGCAATACTTACTCCTGTGTGAGCATTTGCCTGATCAGAGCTCTTTGACAGAGCCAAACTCCGGTTTGATTGATATCAATTACTTTCTTCCACTCTGTCAAAGACATCTGGTGAGTTGAAGTGGGATTTCCACTAATACCAGCACAGTTGACACCAATATCAATGCGCCCGAAACGCTCCACCGTCTTTTGGACAGCTGTGTCAACGGATGTCTCATCTGCTACGTTCACTTGGAAGATTTCAACATCGACATTTGGATGTTGGCTTCGGATCTCGGTCTGAACATTCTCAAGCGACGACAAGTTGAGATCAACAAGGGCCAGGCCACCGATACCATTGCGGGCCAGTGCAAAGGCAGTGCTCTTGCCAATTCCTAGACTTGTCAGTAACAGACTCTATTGCTTTTGAGGTATGTAGGTCTCTACCTGAAGCACCCCCAGTGATAAATGCAATCCCTTGAACGTGGCAAGTCATGTTTGAGCTTTTCGATTTTCCTATGCCTCTGCAGAAACACCTATTTTCATTGCAGAGTGGAACCTCCTATAATATGATATTCCCTTGACATGTCAAAATCGGATGACGGCAATTCCAGGTTCCGGGTTTAATTTGCGTTGTATAACTTCCCAGGATCATATCCTTGTATAGGCAGATACGCACTGTGGGGAGAGGTGGGGCCCTTCTCGCGGTCAACTTCCCGTTTCTACCTGAGCCCATCGGATTTCTTATATTCACTCACGAGCCTATTTTCCCATCTTCGGAAGACTGAGAAGCCGAGTTCCCATTTTGGTATGGGGACCGACCGGTCTTGATGGAGAGTCGTAAAAAGGAGATCGGTTTCCAAGGTATATCGCTCTGTTTCAGTTCAAAATTCCATTCTATCTTCAATCTCAATTTCAAATTCGGTCATCAACAGCCTAAGATGACACGCGCAAATACGCAAATCGAAACAGACGCCATCGTCATCGGCGGCGGTTTCGGAGGCTGCAATTCCCTCTACAAGCTCCGCAACCTCGGTCTTTCCGTCAAGTTAATCGAAGCCGGAAGTGCCTTTGGTGGCGTATGGCACTGGAACCGATACCCGGGCGCCCGCGTGGACAGCGAGATGCCATCGTACCAATTCAACATCCCTGCTGTGTGGAAGGGATGGAATTGGTCGCAACGGTTCCCCGGCGATCAGGAGTTGCGTCGCTATTTTCAACATGTGGACAATGTCCTGAGTCTGAGCAAGGACGCATTTTTCAATACGGTTGTCACCCGTGTGCGGTATGATGCTTCCACGAAACGTTGGGTGGTGCATACCAATACCGGTCTGGAAGCTACGTGCAAACACCTCATTGCTGCGACGGGATCTTCGTACAAGAAGCATTATCCCCAGTTCCAGGGCTTGGATCAGTACGCTGGAAAGCTTGTCCATGCTGCAGATTATCCCGAATCCCTCGACGTGAAGGGCAAGCGGGTAGGCATTGTCGGCAACGGAGCTTCGGGGTTGCAGATTGTGCAAGATCTTGCAAAAGAGGACTGTGAGCTCAACGTATTCATTCGAACACCCTGCTTTGCCATTCCTATGGGACAGCGGGAGATCTCCTACGGAGAATCTGAAATGATGAAGGGCTACTACGACGGCATCTTTGACCGTTGCTACAAATCCGTCACCGGCTTCCCTCATAACACCTTGTTCCAATCAGCGCTCCAGGCCTCCCCAGAGGAGAGAAAAGTCCTCTTCGACGAGCTGTGGGCCCGAGGTGGATACAGCTTCCTTGTTTCCAACTACTACGACTTCCTACTGGACGAAAAGGCCAATTCCATCTTCTACGACTACTGGGTCCAGCAGGTGCGGGCTCGGATGACAGATCCCGAGAAGATGGACATGGTCGCTCCGCTAAAGCAGCACATGTTGGTTGGAACAAAACGGCCCAGTCTCGAGCAGGATTACTACGAGATGGTCGATCGCCCCAATGTCAAGCTCGTTAATCTGAAGCAATCACCCATTGTTGAGTTCGATGCCACTGGCGTGGTGACTCGCGATGGTACTGGTACAAAACATCATGAGCTCGATGTTGTGATCTGCGCAACTGGATACGACGCCGTCACAGGCAGTCTTTTGGATCTTGGAATCACCGATAAAGATGGCCACTCGTTAAAGGAGAAATGGAGCAACGGAGTCTTGACTCATCTGGGACTGATGGTCCCCGACCTCCCGAATTTCTTCATGGTCTATGGCCCTCAGGCGCCTACTTCCTTAGCTAATGGCCCACCTTTCGTCGAGATGGAAGCTGACTGGATCTGCAATGTCATCTCGAAGATGAGAAAGGAGGGACTGGAGTCGATTGAGCCGACCCCGGAAGCAGCTGAGGCGTGGCGTAACCATGTCGTGGCGGTGAGTGAGCACACATTGTATCCGAAGACCGACTCTTGGTATATGGGCTCCAATATCCCCGGCAAGCGGCGCGAACCACTGATTTATTTGGGCGGAATGCAACGTTGGTGGCAGAATTGCACGGAGGCTCTGGAGAGTTGGCAGGGCTTCAAAATGGCTTAGGTGAAAATTGCGGTTCTCCAGGGATGTATATCGACAAGTCCAGACCTCGTATATAGTGTCTCATAGAAAAGTGTTTTTAATCACAGAAAGGAGTTCACTGCTCTTGGAATACCATTCATGGCTGAAACACCGTGGTTTGGTGCCTTTTAGGTTCTCAAATTTTACGTGCCTGTTTCAACTGCAAGCAGGAGTAACTTCAATCTGGATTATTCGTGCTAAGCAGTTAAAGAATAGCCAAAGCGTTAGGCGGGCTCCCAACGGCACCGGGGAAATTCAGTGGCGACGAAGTAAGCAAGAAAGAATACTGCTTACTAGCTTGACAAGCATCACTGAGTGCTTTCAAATCCCAAAGTTCACCGAGCGGAATGCCCAGCAAACTAAGACACCACTGGTGCAACACAAGCTCATGCATAGGCTGCTCGACGCCATCAATCATAGGCGGCATAGCCTCAACAGCCATATTATCACTAGCAACAGCCGCAAAGCGATGATCCCACAGCCAGCGCGCCATCTCCTTGCTTCCCTCAAGCCCGCACATCTTGTGTGTGCTCATCGCGGCTCCTTGTTCCGCCCCATTCATCTGACCCAGTTTCTCGGTCACGCCGAATCGGATTATGAGAATGTCGCCCGTTCGGAAGGTTAGGCCTTGCCACGTGGCTACTGCTTCCAACTCCTTAGTCCCAATGCGGAAGCCGGAGAATTCGTCGTAGTGGATTTTCTGAGACTCTGCGTAACGTTTAAAGTCGAGTAGTACGCCTCGGCCGGTCACGCAACCGCGTTGGTGCCAGTCTGCTTTCTGCGTTAGCCTTCTGTGCAATGACGTAGGTTTGGATTTCTTACGGTCAAGTGTGGGAAGTTGATTTTCGGGATCGGGGGTTTGGAGGGCTTCGATTGTTGGGTTTGCTCCGTTATACGCGAGGCCGGTTGAGAGGTGGGTAAAATGGGCTGGTTGAAATATTAATAAAAATGATTTATGAGAAGATATGACAGGATATATACTGAAGCTATCCCACTGGCTGCTGGCTTGCGTATTGAATTCGACCTGTCATTTCCGTGATGAGCAGAACGAGAAGGAACAATCAGCCCAAGTAAGCATACCTCGTCGTCAAAGCCAAAATGACAGGAAGACTCTGGGTCTTCCAGTTTTGTAACGTTGTGACAGAGGCTCTTTCGAAAGAAACCGGGAAATTTGATGCTTCCAATGGGCCAACTGGTGGGATTAGGTACAAGGTAGTCTTTCGGGGGGTTTGGGCAGAGCATCTCACTTCAGAGAGATAGACAAGCCTTGACGAACCTCTGCCGCAGCATCCTTGGTGCCCTCTGGGGTGAGCAGGTTCAACGTTCCGTAGACATCTTTCTTGCCGTCCTTATCGAAAACACCCCAGGAGCAGCCTTGCGGCATACCCGTCACGGGGGGCAAGTCGTCAAAGGTTGGAATGGACATTTTTAGGCTGGCAAAAGATTATTGCGATCAAATCCGGCCCAAATCGGGCAAGTTTAGTGGGCCGTGTATGGCTATACCGAGGCGTGTAAGAAAGGCGCCTAGTTACAGCCAAAAGAAAATGCCATTCCAGAATCTCCAATAAGTGGAAGATAAGAAAAAGTGAGGAAGCTCTCCACGGGATTCCACAAGATCATTTGTCTTGCAAGTCACGAGATAAACGAAATAGGAAAGTATGGGACTTCTCATTCTAGGTGCGTCTGTTGGGAGTATATGCCCCCTCAATCCAATCCAATCTTTCCCCCAGTTCTATAGACCTCTTCTTGTACGGATGACACGGGTACCTCAAAGTGGGATAGGCACATATATCGTTGTACAATGTCATTGAATGTCTACGTTCCTAGTAGAAATACGGACCGAGGTGCTCGCCGTCAACTTCCCAATTGGGACAGGTGGATCAGGGGCGGACTTGTGGAAATCTTCCAAAAATGATAGCGAAGTATCAAGGGGCGAAAACAAGCCGATACGTGTTTTGTTTTTATTACAGTCATTGAGTCTGTCCGCGAGAGATTGCTACTTTCTATTATCGGTCACTTCATCTGATCATGTCTCTCCAGTATGATGCTGAATTTGCAAAGGAAGCCGGTCCTATTCTAAATCACCTTGCTCGAGTCCCAAAGCCAGCGCTAAACGATGTTGACACACGACGTGCCATTCTCGGCGCCATGGCGAGTGATAAAATCACCTTACCGGATGACGTTGAACATATGGTTCACAGTGCCGCCGCAGCAGATGGTCACAACGTGCCCGTCCACCACTTTCGCAAGAAGGTCCCAGCTCGTGAGGGAGGCGAGCCTGCCATTATCCATATCCACGGTGGAGGATATATCGCTCTGAGCGCAGTCGGATGTGCAACTCCTCATGGGGCATCGGTTTCTCAGACGGGAATTCAAATCCTGAGTATCGAGTACCGGCTGGCGCCCGAGAACCCATACCCTGTGCCGCTGGAAGATTGCTGGGCTGTCCTAGAATGGATTCAAAGAAACGCAGAACGGCTGTCAATCAATCCAGCTCGCATTGCGGTCATGGGAGAAAGTGCTGGCGGTGGCTTGGCGGCCGCCCTCACTCTTTTGGCGCGAGATCGAGCCCTCTCACCCCCTCTGGCGAAGCAGATTCTTATTTACCCCATGCTGGACGATCGGACAATCACCAACCATGCACGTGAACTGGCTTTCTGGGATGATAAGGACAATATCACGGGTTGGACTGCGTATCTGGGGCCGAAGGTGGGAAGTAACGAGATTGTTCCCTATGCTGCACCGGCTCGAGTCGAGACGGTCGAGGGTCTCCCTCCACTATACCTCGACTGTCCTCAACTGGACATTTTCGTCCATGAAGGAATGGACTATGCACGCCGGTTTGTGGCTGCCAATATCCCCACCGAGTGCCACATCTACCCAGGTCTACCGCATGGATTTGAAGCGCTCGCACCTGGCATAAACGTCACCAAGCAGGCTATCAGTAATCGCTATAAGGCAATGACTAGCTTTTGAATACAACGAATGTAAATTCCCAAATGAGATAGGACGAAATGAGTGGAGGGTAATCACCGTACTGTCTCGTAAGATTGAAATCAATAACATCAGGTTGTATTCGGCCCAACCCGACAGTGGGTGTGAGTATCCAGGGGCTGTTCCATGGACCGAGCACATTAGCCACGTATAAAAGGACGAGTCTCTCTCTTTATTCAGCATCCTTGTCGTTTGGAAAATCCGCGCCCTCTTGGCATCAATTTCCAAGATGACATCCATCCCAAGACCCAGAGAGGAGACGGTTCACAGTCTCGTGAACAACACAGTTGCCATTGTCACCGGGGCAGCCAGGGGAATTGGCTTTGCCACGGCATCACTACTAGCGCAGAATGGAGCTCGCGTGGTACTGGTAGACCTGCGGGATGATGACCTGAAAACAGCCTGTGCGAAGATAGGCTCACGGTCGACATACAAAGTCTGCGACGTCGGTGACTGGGATCAACAAGTAGAATTGTTCGAGCACGTGGTTAAAACTATCGGCCCGATCGATCTGCTAGTCTGCAATGCAGCCATCAACCCCGAAATCGCACTTCTGCAGACCTCCGACACACAGAAGCATGCGCAGATGAACTCACAGGTGCGGTACAATTACCTGGCCGACGAAAAGGACCCACAGAACCCCGAGACTCTTCAACGTCCATCCACAGCGCTTGTGGATATAAACTTGAACTCAGTTATTTTTGGTCTGAAGTTGGGCATCCACCATATGAAGCACGGTCGGATCGTGGTGGTCGGGTCTGCAGGTTCGTACGTGCCGATCCCTTCCCAGCCGCTTTATTCCGCCAGCAAGCATGCCGTGCTGGGTTTGGCGCGTAGCACTGCTCTTATGTCTGAAGTTGCTCGGTCGGGGGTCTCCATCTCTTGGATCGCACCCTGGTTGACATTGACCTCCATGGTGGAAGGATTGGAGGCTACCACAAACGGCAGCTTGAAGAGCTCTCCGGATGACGTCGCGTGGGCCATTATTGCGGCTTGTGCGGCAGACGCGCCGAATGGCAAGGGGTATTGGGTGCAGGGCTCTGCAATCAGTGAGGTTGAGGGGGCTTACGGCGAGGTGGCGGGACGGTTGATTTCTCCGGAGAATCGGTTCTAGTGGAAGGGACCATAACAATTTGCCCAACTATTTATCGAGTCGACATTTGACAAATCTTCTGAATCAGTGTCAAATTCCACTTTAATTTGAGTTCGGCCAAGCCCACTGGGTTTGCTGAAATCGAATGTGCAGGGGTTCACTGGTATATTAGGGCTGAATCACGATGAACATCTTAGTGAACTATGTTATGTGCTGTGCCCGAACAACAATCATGCGAGCAAATCTTGTCAGTGCTTATGTTACATGAATAGAGAGAAGGAAATTTAAAGAAGCGAATTGATTAATTCAAGGTATCTCACGTTGCCCCTGGTACCATTCCACCTAAAAGTTGCGGTTCAGGTTAGAACGTCGGGTTTGCATCGCCGTTTCTTGAGTGCCTTCTCCTCGTCGGCAAAGACACAGACCCGGTAGATACCATTCCACCTTGCAAGCTCCATCCATATTCCCCTTAGAAGGTGCTGTTCGGACGTTGACGGGTTGGGCGCCGCCGTTTCTTGGGTGCCTCCTGCTCGTCGACAAGCGCGCCCTTGGCGCATAGTTCCTGCAGGTGGGTAATGTGAGACCCAGTAGTATATATAGAGCTAGGGATCAGTGACGAGGAATCGAGAGAAAGTAGCAAGATGAGAGTAACGGCATTGCGGGATACACTATAACTCCCCATTCCTAAGCCTAAGTCCTAATCGACCAATATCTTCAGTCTCTCGATTGTTCTATATATAATCTTAATCCGACAAACCCTAGGTCTCGTTCCCAGGAACCGAGCGACTTAGAATTACTACATGTAGTTATCACGCTCTACCCGTTGATCCTAGAAACCTTTTCTACAATATACGGACAGCGACTATATATAGGATATTGGGTGGCGTGTTGAGGTGGCAACCCGGAAATAGCAACAATAAAAAGGACAGGGTGGTTACTGACATACCCGGCTTAGGTCCCGAGGTCATATTTGCGGGTGAAATTGCCAAACTGCGAAGAGAAGAAACGAGAAAGGACATGAAGTGTTCACAGTTCTGAGACACAATCAGGATGATCAGGCTGGCGATACGAGGTTTGAGAACCAAAAAATCCGGGGTTCGGCAAGTTCCGCAGTCACACGGTCACCTGGACCAGGAAATACGAATTGATATAAAATCGATGACGCATTGAATGTGTTTGAGAGCTGTGTTAGGAACATCTCCAAATAACTACATATACAGTAATTAGGTAAATCATAGCTTGGACAATAGTCATCGGGTGCTGTACAGATATATAGTATCTCCCAATGAAAATGTGTGAAATGACTTTCAACTTCTGCACTTGACCTCAATTGCATTCTAACGCCTATACAAAATAGAATTGAGGACCTTGGGCCATCTAAAACATCCCATCTAAGACTTCCCATTCATTCCAAGGTTCTCTCTGTGTACCAAAATAGTGGCTATGGCTATGCCCTAGATAGTAAACATCCCAACGCCACTATCCGATCTACCATGGAAAAGAATATCTCATCTAATATTAGAAACTAGTGTTAAAATCATGCTGCAGGCTTGTCTTGGTGGCATAGAAAGCGTAGAGCAAAAGGTATATAAAGCGCTTCGGTATCTCGTTGATCATTTGTTTGGATACAACCAATCCAGCCTGCTACACTCTGCACAATATTGAGTCTTCTAATTATCTTTCTCTAAAAATGAAGGCTACTACAATTCTCGGTCTTTTTGTTGCCTATGCAGCTAGTGCTAGTGCGATTCCAGTCCAACAAAGAAATAATCAAGTTGACATCACCTTCATTGGCGCCGCCGATGCACAGTTCACTCAAAGTATCCCTACGGACGGGTCTGTTGTCTCAATTGGTACGTCCCTTGTTATCTACGCAGCTGAACTAAAACTATTCTAACTTTCTTTAGAAAACCCATTGAGTATCTCGCACATATCGTCCAACACTGCCGGGGTCCAGTGTACCTTTAACGGCATTGATCATAGCGTGACGGTCGTTAATGGAGTCCAATGGGTCGATGTTGGCCCCCCGCAGACCCAGGTAACTGGATCTTGCCAGGTGCAGGGATCGGGTCAAGTGCATGTCACTTTCATTGGAGCTGCCGATGCTCAGTTTACCCAGAGTTTCCCGTCCAACGGTGAATGGATTCAAATCGGTATGTCCATCTATAGATCCCGCTATGAGGACAGAAAGACGCTGATCAGTATAGTGAATTCTCTGAGCATTTCCCACATCCAAACCAGCACTGAGGGCATCACCTGCGTTTTCAACGGCATTGACCACAGTGTCACTACTGTCGTTGGTGCCCAGTTGGTCGATGTCGGACCCCCTCAAACCCAGGTCTCGGGTTCCTGCGCATGATGTTCTCTCCGGAAGGGGGATAGGAAGTGGCATTGTAAGTCTTGTGTTGAAAGGAAAACAAGGAAAGCAGAAAAATAAGCACTCGATAGTATTTTCCGGTTTATGTGCTTTTACTGATTTTCTGGATTTTGTTGGAGGAATTAGCCCATAATACTCTGTCGATATACACTCCTTTCTAGCGTCTCTCCTCCATACACTCCTTGAAATCCATATTATCTAATTCGTACTCAATGTCTTCAATCATACATCCACAATTCCAGTACCAAGCCACGAGATGATTCACCGTATAAAATACCCTTATATCCTGCTTCACGCGGAGGAAAAAAGAGGAACGAATGTGATTCAGGGCGGAATGTGACGCGAGGGGCTACGCAGGTCACATCGACAGAGCTTGAACCTCAACGTGGAGGCATTGAACATTACTTTTCCAAGAGGTACTCTTAATTTTCTTATTTCCCTGGTCTAGCAAATATCTAATTTGCCATACATATCACATTGATAGAAACCGAGTTACTCGAAAATGCATTCTGATTCAAAGCCTTCTAAGGGTCAGCCAAGGGACCCCGGAATTCAGGGCTGCTACTGTCCCCTTCGAGCCCTTCAAAGGCCAAGCGAGCAATGGCATTCCAGATAAACAGTCCAGACCCTTTTCATTTCTCAAATGACCTTATAAAGCTAAGTCCCATCCCCAGACCGTGCGTTTACGCGACAACGACAACCGCCAACATGGGTTCGATCAACTGAACGCTTCTTATTTTTTTTTGGGAATATAACCCCATTGACGCCTTCATCAATCGCGTCAATTATCGACCACCTAATCTGCTACGGGGCTATTGCCAATTACGACCTTTTGTATTTTACAATGGGGCGCGTATCTACAGCCGTCCTTCTAGCAAGCTTCGTCGGGTATGCCTTGGCTGGCATCCACCATCCTGCGCATGGCCATCGCCACCACCATCGCCACTTGATGCCGCCTATGGAAGACTTGGAGCTGCGAAATTTGCCTGGCGATAATGTGAATAACGCTCCAGATTATTTTGTGGTGGAATCCATTACACTCACAACCACGACAACCGTTTTTGGAAACTGCGCGCCAACCAATCCTGTTCACTCCACCCTTACGCTTGTCAAGCATAAGCCTGAGCCTACGACATGTTCGCATAATCATGATGTGTACAACCTCGCGCGTCCCGAGGCATATGAAGACCATTGGTATCAACATGACCCGCAGCCCGAGCCTATTCTCACTGCGTCGACAAATATAAAGCCCGCTCAACCTCAATTCACTCGACCCAAGCCCGCGGCTCCCGTGCCAACAGAGCTGGAGGAAATTACTACCATCTTAAAGACACAAACAATCACCAAAACTGCAACAAATACCGTAAAGGTGACTGTCTACCCAGATGTCAGCCCTGTCCCACTTGCAAATACACTCCCCGGGAATCCCTCAAAAGCAGAAAAAGCTGCGGCCCTTGCCGACACGCTACCAAAGGGCTCTTTAGAAGAAGAGAAAGCCGTCCCAGTCAAACGCCCTCCTCCACCACCTCACAAAAACGACGGCGGACCAATCGACGCTGTCCTCGATCTGCCGAATGAAGTCCTCCCTGATATCCCTGTAGTCAACGAGATCCTCCCAGGGCCAAAGCCACACAAGCCCAGCCCAGTGGACTGGACGGCAACACCGCCTAAGGGCCAATTCTCAACAGACGGATTCGGAGGACGTACTCCGCCAAAAGGAAAAGGCGCGGAGATCCTCTACCAGGGCAATGTTGGAAAGCCCTGGGGGAGCAATATCATCAATGTCAGTCCTGCCGACGCACACGGCTACAGATACGTGGCACAGTTCACGGGTTCAAACGATGTGCCCTGGACGGTGGTTGTCTGGAACAAGATCGGGCCTGACGGCAGACTGACCGGGTGGTATGGCCACTCTGCTCTGACATTCACTCTTGCTCCTGGCGAGACTCATTATGTTGCTTTTGATGAGGACTCCCAAGGTGCATGGGGTGCTGCGCCTGGTGATCATCTACCTACGGATCAGTGGGGCGGATACTCGTGTACGTGGGGCGAGTTTGGGTTTGGTGATGGGGAGAATAATGGCTGGTCAGGATGGGATGTTTCGGCTATTCAGGCGCAGATTGCGAATCATTCTGTTCAGGGGATGTCTATCTGTCAGGCTAATGGGAAGGGATGCTCTATTATCACGCCAGGTGCTAAAAAGGTCGTTGATGCTTATGTCAAGTCAAAGAAACATTTGGATGGTATTGGTGGTGCGGCGTCCCCTGGTCCTGTGCGGTTAAAGGTAGTGCTTGATTATCGGGGATGAGGGTGAAGTTCTGTATATACGCATGCATGTTGCAGTGGGATACGATTATGAAAACGATTAATTCACCAAACAATTGAGAGCTTTTCCCAGGTTAAACTTCATATAAGAATCTCGTAGGATCAATACATGTCGGCAGCTGATACTTGCAATGAAACCGCAATCACTCAAACCCAAATTTCTCGACCTTACTCAATTCATTGCGGGAATGTCAATCTGCTTGATAGTCCATACCTTTCCACCCTGACTAGACGAAACTTCGGTGTAAGTAGCACCACCCGCGCTAGAAATCGTCGAGCCAAAGGTAGTATCGGCCGAGGCCAGAGTAATAACCGTGTTCAAATATTTCTGCGGAGCGATAGTTCCCGAGCAGTTGTCATTACACTCGGTTCCGGTGCCGTATCTAACTCGAGTCAGTATAATCCTCGATGAAAAAGAATTCTAAACAGAACATTGACTCATACTCACCCGCGCATGTAGGGTCCGGATTCGTGGGAGTAAGTTGAAAGCTCGGCACCAGTCTTGCCATTTGTAACAGTCCTGCAAATATTAGTGGTGACGTATCTAGCCATCTCGAATTCATACTTACTGCTTCCAGGTCTGTCCATCGGACTCAAGGTTGTACTCAATCCGCACCTCGTCGGTTCCGCTTACAGGTGATCCGGGGCCATCGAGCTGACCAAAGCTGCCAAAGACACTGGCGCGCACACACCACTGGCCGGTGCCTGCTCCGCACCACGCGTTGCTAGACCAGCTTTCCAGGGTGGTTTGGACCAGGTCGCCGGTTCCGTTGGACATCTATGGTTATTAGTAACAAGAGGGCCCTTCAGAAAAATCGAGGACTCACTCCAGGCCAAAGGAATAGGACGCCGTTCTGGGTTTCTGGGGCAGCTCCAGGGATCAGCGTCGTGACGGCGTTAACAATGGTCGACTTGGAGGGACCGAGGGAGACACTGCCACCCCAGATGTCATCTCTCTTGGTCTCTAGCAGTCCTGCGCTAGCAAGGCCGGCGGCAGCGAGGAAAGGTATGATGAAGCGCATTGTCATAATTATGAGCTGGAGGACTGCAAGTACACTTGTCTCAGTCGCTAGGCGTTCCTGCGGTTAGGGGATCTCAAATATAGAGGACTTGATCGATTTGAATTCATTTCGGACTAACAATCCGTGAATTTATAGGTTCCTCCGGCAAGACATAAGCCATCTGCGCCGGTGGAGTGGTGGAATTGACTAGAGGCGGGGCGCCTCCGGAAGGTCTTCAGGGCGGATGTTTCACCTTAAAACAAGCCTAACACCAGGCTGATTGTTGAAAGTGGCCAGCTGCATGCACGAGCGCTCCTCATTGATGCTTTAATTTCGGTCAAAACAAGGCCCAGTCAAGTCGAAAGCCCCGCTTATGGACTTTCTATTTACCTGACAGGATCTATTTGTGGTGACAGCAGGACACTAGGCAGTATTCGAGTTAGACTACAACATTTGTGCAATACAGAACAGGTGAGAAGACTCTAGCGGCGAATAAAGACCCATAATGTTGTTTCATGTTTCAATTCACGGACAAAATATTAATGTCTCCGGCAGCTTGTTCCGCAAGACCGACATGTTAACTTTAGACCGGGTGGATATCTCATTCCAAGTATTCACCCTTGGTTTCGGCGTGGATGACATCAAACAGGGGCTTCGCACTAAACCAGCCAGCCTTCGGGGTTCCCAACGTTTTGTAGGTGAATGCCGCATCGGCTTCTTCAATTTTCACTGTTTGGCCGCCTCGTCCGGTAGCTGCTGCATCCGCTAGGAGCTGCGCGTAACAGCATTTTTCCAGGCTCACGAACCAGAACACTGTCTCTTCAATTGTATTGCCGACTGTCAAGAGGCCGTGGTTTTGCAGCAGGGCTGCCTTCTTGTTGCCCAGAGCTTTGGCAATGTTCTGCCCTTCTTCTTCCGCTAGTACGACGCCTTTGAACGATGAATAGAGAGCCAAGTCCTGATCCTGTTAGAACTGGGCTCTCGCACGCAGGAGTATTGAAGAGAACATACGTTGTGGAAAGCACAGGCATCCTGCGAGATGATATCGAGCGGTCGGCCTAGTGAGCAAAACGCCCGTCCATGGAGACTATGACTGTGAGCAGCGCAGTTCACTTCGGGCCGTGCTTGATGAATAGCGGAGTGGATCATAAATGCAGCGGCATTCAGCATTCGATTCTCTCCACCCGCAATGACCTTCCCATCGTGGTCGACCTGGATTAAGTCTGATGCCTTCATCAGCTTGAATGCCGTTCCGAAGGGGTTCACCCAGAATGTTGTCGGATCCACCGGATCCCGCAAGGTAATGTGGCCAGCGACACCTAATAACATTGTTAGTGTTAACTGTATGCTTCGCTGTAGGGTCATCCACACCCTCGTCATATCCTTTATCGCCAAAGATTCTGAACGCTGCTGCTAGGCGGCCCTTTAAATACTCTCGCTCCTTCATCTTATCCTCGAAAACAGGCATACTGGGCATTTGCATCTTGATCTTGGCCTTTTCGGCACCCGCCGCTTGAGATGACTGTGGTGCTTGCATGCTGATGGTGTTCGCGAGGGTCTCGGTCGCAGTGGGAGGAGCCATGGTTGTGTGTCGTCTATATTGAGGATTGTCGAGACGCACAGGGATTATATATCTGCTTCCAAAGTCATCCAATACTCTTAACGCGGAGAAAACACCGAAGCGGGGTTGCTGATTATCAACCTTGTTTGGATTGGCCGGAGAGCCGAGGTTGTGTAGCTTCTCCGCAACCGGATATCCTTGCATCGATCGCCACTCGGGGTTGATGTTGTGATACTCTCTCGAGTAGTTGAGGTAGATTAAATAGTAGATGTTGAGTAAGATTGAGCAAATGGAGAATAGCTAATGTGAAACCGACAATACACCGAAATCAAATCGCTGGACTTTAGCATAGCACTTTGAATCATTAATGCATCAAATCGTTATAGTTGGCTTAAGAGTTAGATAGGCCTTGGGTTACCTGTTCCTCCAGTCGTGATATCTAGTTTGTAAATCTTTATAGCGGAAATAGAGGCGCCCGATGAACCTCCGCCATCAATGCCTCGAACAGCTTACGGTCCGCTGGGCTGAAGCTTGGGCTGATCGTCGCGTGATGATATGGAGATCCAACCAATGGCTTCAGGTCGGCTTCGCACAAAGTTCCTGCCACTGGTAGTTTCCCAGTTTGGAAGTAATGGCGAATGGCCTTCGCCACGCAGATTGATGGGGCTGTGACTGTTGTGTGCTAGATAAATATGTCAGGGATGGGCCACTGGGGGGCTCACGGCGAGTAACTCACTCCTTCTGATTCTTGCTGGAGCAATCTAGATCCTGGGAAAATTTGGGACATATGTTGGGCACTAGGACAGTTAGCTTGGGCAGCCACTAGCGACGAGTGAATACACACCTGTGAAGAGGAGTCACTGGATCCAGAGTATTTGATACTAACAGCATGGGATGAGCGGTAGTAGCGCCCCATGGCCCTAATACCGGTCAGTTGCGAACGCATAGAGGCCATAATAGGACATACCTGTGAAAGGGCACTTAGCCTTGGCTTTCCATCCAACACAGCTCAATTGCAATTGCGCCCAATAATCACCCAGAGATGCACTATCGGCCACAAGGCTAGACCATTCTTCCCGGAATTGCTCAATGTTCAGAGTTGTCAAATGTTCGCCATCCGAGCACATAATAGCGGCCATGGCATAGAGCATGTTATCCTGCGATGTAGCACATTCTTGTGACCAAGGCCCAGCGAGACTGCATTTGTTAGACGGACATGCACCGAAGTGGTTACCATGCTTGAAGTCAGCCATGGGGACCGCATTGCCCTTGCCCAACTCGGTCATTCTGTCTGCCAGAACGGGGAATGCAAGGAGGGGCTGGTAGATGGCAACACGCTGGATTGCTTTGATGTCCGTCCAAGTCACAACTTCTGGTCCCCGTGCCGCAGATGCCGCGACGGGGATTGAGGTGTTGAGAATCTGCTGCTCGAGCTGCCAGTACGCTGCCCTGATCGCCTCTGAACCACCCTCCACATAGAAGGGACACGCCACAGGTCCAGCCTCATTACAGTACTGGCCAAATCGATCAAAGATGGCATCTGCGTCAGTAACAACGTTTGGTCCTGTCCCTTGATAGTACTTCACCATGTCGACTACACCGTCGAGAACAGCTCGTGTGACTCGTTCTGGGAAGAGCGAGGCAAAGGTGGTTCCCAGCAGGGTACCGTATGAACGACCCCAATAGAGAAGTGGCTCTTTTCCGCGGTGCCATTTGGTGCGTTGCAAGACTGCGTTTCCTTGATCCAGTCCATGGCACTTATTATGGACTGCCTGGACTCTTCGGCCGTCCTTCTCACGCCATTCTCCATGGCGTTCAATGATGGTCAGCATGTCCTGCGCGACGAGCGGGGTATTGACATAGGACATCATTGACTCGTCTGCTCCTAAACTCGACATATCAAATACCGAACAACCCGAGTTCAGCGCTTCGGTCCTCTGCCAGTTTCTCTGCAAGGAATCCGGTCCGCTTCCCAGCATGCCTTCCGCGGAGACTTGCAACTCCCAGTTCGCCTGGGAGACGGGATCAGGAAAACACATCACTGGAGGCGTTGTGGATCCTACTCCACGAGGATCAAATCCGATAATATCAAAATACTTGTTGCCAGTTTCTTCTCCGGTCTCTTCTCCGGTCTCTTTTGGGTCAGCTTCCGCATCAATAATCAGCTGGAGATTCCGACCCGCCTCGAACGCCTGCATTGTTCCCGGTCCACCAGGTCCACCTGGGCTATGAGCTTAGATCATCATGTCAAGTGCAAATTAACTTACCAGGATTGATCAGAACCGCGCCTCCATACCGCGGATCTGTGACTGGGACCTTGGCCGGCAGTCGGACAACAGCCAGAGCGAATGTGCGGCCTTTTCCATCGGTCCGTTCGTAGTCCATAGGCACTTCCAGTCTCGCGCATTGGAACTCATCGCGGCAATTGTGGTACTCCAGCGACTGCGAAGGAATGATTTCGTCCCAGGTTATTGGGATGTCCAAAGGCTGGACCACCTTCCATGAGGGTAGTGGGATGGGCCAGATGAAGAGAATCAACACGGCAGCAGCCAGGGCCAATCCCCAACGAGCATATCGATGAGGTGGCTGGCGTACCTGGCGAGCCTGACAAGGCGGTAAAGGCGCGGATTTTACATCCATCACGCGACCAAAACATCCAAAACAGAAACGAACCAAAACAAACAGAGTAAGGGCAGTTTTCCCAAAAGCCCACAAGCCCAGAAGCCCAGGGGCCGAGAATATAAGAAGAGCAATTCAGAAATCAGATAAGTCAATCTTCTCGAATCCCGCCGGTCCCGCCAAGTGGGGGTTTCCCTTTCGACCTATGTTTGTAGAAACACCCCGATCATCCATATACCTTGCATTCTATGGGAATTGACCTATCGAAACGGAATTAGTTCTGATAGAAAAGATAACTGCTGAGCAATAGGAGAACGCTCAGGGGTCAGTGCACCTGCATATCTCCAGGGTCCAGTGGCCAAACATCTTCCGGGCTGTGCAAGAGGTAAGTGCTCCAATCAAATTGCAAAGCAACCAGGGACAAATATTAGAGACTCGGCTGCCACAGGGAAAATGCAGATGGGATTATGAAGGTGACGATGGATGTGTTCCGTCCACAGTATGGCAAAGCAGATACGCGGAGATCCATGGTCCGTCAGGGAATACCAGGCAACTGCCAACATCCAAGCCACTCGACTTCAATCACGAACGTGAACACAGTTGATTCGACGGGAGTACAGAGTACGTGGCTCCAGGAAACGACAATCAAAGAAGAGCCCCATCAACATAAAAGGAAGGGAAAAGCCCCCTCTCCCCAGACTTCTTTGAAACATTGAATTATACATCATGGCTTCCAAACTCCAAGACCACATCGACACCCTCCACACCCTCCCACTGGCCGAGGGTGTTCAAGCAATCGCCGACCTCATACCAGGCCTCACTAGCGTTGTCCCTCAAGAACACGGCTACTTCGTCCAACACCCCGACTATGAAGGAATCGGGAATCTGAACGACATCGGCACCCTCTGGCTGAAGCTCGGATCGCAATGTCACGATGACCACGCGCCCCTACAAGTGCGTCTCATCCACGTTTCCATCGACGACCCGATCTACGAAATCTACGGCACCAGCTACAGGATGCTGAATAAGGGACTCGAAGATGGGACCGTTGCACCTCCCGCCCCGCATGAGGATCCCAATTACTGCGCCTGCTGTAGCGGTGAGGCTAGTGCCACCATCTTGGCTTGTTTCCATGAGCGGCAGGCATTGTACTTCACCGAGGAGGAATTCAAGGCTCTCTGGGGAGATCAGCCGAATTCAGGAGAGAGGTGTCGTAATTGGACAGAGGAAAATGGCTGGGAGGAGCGTAGTATCAATGCGAGCAAGGAGCAGATTGAGGAGGCTATAGCCAGGAACCCGGCTGTTAGCATTCCGAGTATGCTTTAGATGAACTAGTGTTAAACTGGGAAGTATCGCAAGTGGTGGTTGGCATCGGAATGATAGTTCAGATAATGAAAAATGGAGAGAAAGTCATTACGAATACCTTGCTTTAAAGATTTCGCAACGCCCCCGGTATGTACACGGAAGAGTCAAGAAGATTGCACGGAGAAATCCCCATTGAATAGCAAGAAACCGACCCTCCGATCTATCCCGGTGTGCATATGTAAAATAAAGATAATGTCAGCTTCGTCGGAGCTTGGTCTCGCGGAGCTCAACTAGGTCGAACCGCTTAGTCGTGGCTGCGAGGTCGCTTTCGAGGGTTGATAGCCCGGCGACCAAGAGACTCGGCGCGGCTGCCGATGGAATCCTCGACCCGCTGAAGGTATTCGACGAACTCATAATAGTTATCGAAGTCCAGATGAGTCTTATCAGCCTCGTTGCGAACCCTGTTCATCAGATGCTCAAAGAGATGGCGCATGCGGTCGCGCTCCGAGTCGTTATTCGGGAAATGTGGCACCCACTGCTGCATCCAGTTGGAGAAATCAGTCACCGACTGGGCCGGTCGCTGATAGCTATCCATATATCGGGCCCTAGCGACATCAGGGTAGACTCCGTTCTGGAGCTGGTGAATAAGGAAGGTACAGAAACTGCCGTAGGTGACCTTTTCGGCCGGTAGGTGACGTATGTGTCGCTTCCACTCATCCTCGATATTAAGGGCAACGTGCTTAAGCGCCCGTGTAACCTTGCGCTCATCGACCTTGTACCACTCCGGATATTTATCGAAATGTCGCTCTAGACCCATAGAAAAGTTCTTGAACTCTCCCAAAGCTCGTCCGTTGTATACCGGCACATTGGGCACTGGTGGGGGTTGGACGGATGGTTCGGGATGAAAAGATCGGGCAGAAGGTTGCAGACTGGAACGGGGTTCAGTCTTGACAGCTGATTGTGCGGCAGGGGACCTGGTAGCTGCGGCGAGGGCTCGCAATTGCTCGAGGTTCAAACCGGACGCGTTCTTTGCGGGTTTAGGCGAAGGCTTCGGTTCGGACAACTTAGCCTCAGATGGATGACGATCAGCAGCTTGAGTCACAGGAGCTGTAGCGGTAATCTGCTCCGATCGGGCAGTAACAACCTTCTTTTGGGCTCCATCAACACCACCCTTGCCGTTCTGCTTCGGTTCGGCTCTGGATGGAGTTGAAGCAGGGGTGGCCGGGGGCACTTCCAGGGTGGTCGCGGCCAGAAGTCGAGTGCGAGCCAGTTCCAATTCTCTCTCCTCCTCTGCAACCTTTTGTTTGATGTCAATGAGCTCTCGCTGCTTCTTCAGTCTGGACAATTGAGCTTGAGCTTGACGGATTTCCGCCTCCAGGTCGTCGGCAGAGCCAACAGGCGCTGCAGGCTCAAGATCTGTGTTTTGGAACATCTCATTCAGACTCTCCCATCTCTCTTGAATTCGATGAATGTTGGATTCAGAGCCAGGTTTTGTGTCTGGCTCTGACATGGTGATTTTTTTAATCCCTGCGCGTCGCAGATAAGATAGTGTGCGGAGAAAGAAAGTTCCGAGTCCGTGAAGAAACCCACCATGCCTCGGGCAGCAACCGTCCCAAAGCAAAGCGGATGGACTATGTCAGAGTGATGATTTGGTAGTTTGAAGCGTCTCTCGAGCATTCTGGATTTTGTCGCGAGTTCTGCGGGGTGAGTGGTCTCAAACAGCTACTTGCTCTCAGTGCCTCATCCTGCTTCCCGATCTAGTACGGGCAAACGCAGCATATGTGATCTATAACTTTGCAATGAAAGCCAGAATATTCCCAGATTAAGGGAGAAGCAGTTAAGAAATATTTTCCACTTCGTCTAGTCAATTAATAGTGCTAAAGCGAAGAGATGGTTGATATTCATCGAGGGGACACCTCGACTGTTTATATATCGGAAATGAACAAAGGGAGGGCCGATTAAACCAGGAAATACGTGCTGATCTTTATCACTTTTGGAACACTTTCTAGGAAATTCAAAAAAGAGTAGCAAAGGAACGGCCTCGCTGATCCTCGAGGTCGGAGTCTCAGAGCCCACCGGGCAGCTCAGAAACGACGCCCGGTGGTACATTAGACTAGTATATGTGCTGCTCTTTGTCACATTTGGAACACTTTCTAGAAAATTCAAAAAAAAGTAGCAAAGGAGCCTTAAATGGCACGTGACTGACTCTATAGTATTCTTTTACACTTGGAATCCGAAGACCTGTGGAATTCAAGCCGAAAATGACCACTTTTGACTGTTTCCGTTCTAGTGCTCACCCCTCGCGGCCCTGGGTCCACCGGGTGTCCTGACACGCGAACCATTGCTATAAGCAGTTTACACACCAACACAGACATAGTATCCCAGCCAAAGGTGGCTGCACGCCGCGTCGATCCGCGTGTTCCAGGCACGGAACTGCACCAACGTGATCCCCGCATCCGTATTTATCGACCAGCAGCTGTCACCGTCCTTAATTAGGTAGAAGCGCTTGCAGTTGCTGACAATCCCAGGTATTTTGGGCGTGGGGCCTGAGGGCTCAGGTGTTGGCTGGGGTGCCGAGGTGGTGGTTGCGCCGGGAACATGTACGCAGACGTAGTAGTCCAGCCAAAGGTTTGTGCATTCTATGCATGTTAGATTCTGGTCTTATGGAATGGAACGCTCTCCCGGTTATGGAACGGAAAGAGGAAATGGGAAGGTGAAAGACGTACTGTCGTCGATCAGGCTGTTCCAGCTCTTGAGCTGGGCTTCGCTGATAGCATGCTTCGTAGCAATGGTGTTGCACTGATCGCCAGATGAGACCTTGTAGAAACCATCACAGTTGCCTACAATGCCGGGCATAGTGGGGGAGTTGCTGGGCGCCAACTCAGTGGTGGTTGGGAACTTGGTGGCGGTGATGGCAGTGGTGGATGTAATGCTGAGGGTTCATCCGTAGCAGTGCCCATCACGCAGTACGACTTGCTGGTATCGAGGTTGGGGCAGGTGATACCAGGGTTCAGCTGCTGGAGAGTGTTGACCGAGAGTCCCCAGCTGCTGGCAAAACTCGACATGTAGCTCCAGCATCAGCAGTGGTGGAGAAGTCACATTCAACGGCGCGGCGGGTCAGGGCTGCAGCCATTGCTGGGACTACCCCGACGGCGAGAAGAGTTGTTAAGTGCATTACCTTGGACTTGTGTTGGGACTGGGTAGAGAATTGAAAGCGTCAGCGAAAGTTTGCTGCTCAGGGAATTGAGGGTGACATACAGTACTATAGACTCAAATTGGATGAGGGAAGGCCTGACCCTCGAACTGCCTGCCACCTCTTCAGAGCTTTATATGACAATTTGAGTCCCTCACAGTTCCGACGATGCGCCCTCCTGTCTGACCTACATCCAAGGGTATATATTACTTCCCAACTACTTTAGGACTTAGTTGAAGCTCTGAGGCCCTTAGACTATCGTTAGAGCACTAGGTACAGTATTATTATAGGGTATCAATAGCTAGCGTAGAAAGCAGTTATCATTGTTTGCCACCTGGCGCGAGATGGAAGATTTTGGATATCCCAAAGGAGTAAAAGTGCCTACAAGAATGGGCATAAGTCAATCGACCGGAGCCGGAGGGCCTATCCTGACCAGGAGCAATTTTAAGCGAACCGGTTCAGCAACTAGGAACGAACTCATGTCCATGCAAATGCCAGTTAGGGTTGATAAACTACCTAGGCAATGTAACGCTGCAATCCACTAGCGACAGAAGTCAAGCCTTGGCAGGCCTTGCCCAGAATCCGCGCTCCTCGGCGCTTGATGTGGGGGAAACATACTCTGTACAGGGTCTTAGGCCTTTGGTAAGATCGCCCATGAGCCGCCAAGGCGCGAGCTTATGCGGCCATGGATTGAGCGTCTCACCTGTTCTTTCAACCCATGACACCATGTGATTGACTCCATATAGCGCATAACCCCTATCTTTGTGCATCTTGCCTTCGCCGTTCACTGCCAGTAGAATCCCTTCTTCGCAGAAGCATCGTCTAAAGAAATCTCCGTGTTTCCCTCTGCTTCCCATCTTTCCGACCCCCACCTTTGGAGGCTCGACTCGCCTCAGCATGCGCATTCCCTGGGCAAGCTGGTTGCTCGCTGCCTGTATGGGGACTACAATCAACGCTTCCAACATACTAGAAGTGGACCTAGTGTTTCCGCGCAACGAAACATACGCGCCCACAGAGTGGTTCCCTGTTGTCTTTGCTGTCCAGAATCCAGAGCGCGCGAGATACCTGAACCTCGGACTTGAATATATTTTATGGAATCTGGATGACAGCAACGACGTCCGACCCTTCACCCATGAGCTTAGATGGGCAAACTGGACCGATAAGAACCCGTACCTTGCACACGAGTTCACTGGTATGTTCCGCAACGAGGGTCGGTGGAAAGTGACCTGGACCCTAATGTGGGAGAGTTGCAACGAGTATGCCTTTGAAAATCATCGTGACGTCAGAAATATGATCAGCAACATGACTAGTTGGTCAACCTGGTTCACCACTCAGAGTACCGCCCCTAAGGTAGATCTCGTTGCTGCTACAGCCAACAAGACATGCCTAGGGCAATACGGCATGGCAATCAATGTGACCGACAAAACTATGCAAGTCCCCCAGGGTGTGACTTGGTCTGGCGGTGGCTATACCAACGACACATGCGTAGTGGTCGCGTCGTCCACCCAGACTCCTAGACCGGATCCTTGCCGCGTCGATATTGACAAGACCATTGTCGCAAGCATGGAGGCCTCTTTGAAAAACCGCTTGTGCAACTGGTTAGATCCACCAGCTGATTGCCCTAAGGATGACAAGAATGCCGGGCAACAACTGGCTGTGGCTGGCGTATCCTGCTTGCTCGCTGCATTTGGGGCGTTGGGGTTCTTTCTTATGTAACCATTTTCCTGCGTTAGTGCTCTTTGTCAAAACTCTTAGTCTAGACCTTAGCTTCTACAACCACTCAATATGAATCGTCGCATTGCACTATGCAGCCTTAGTCTCTCTTAACACTCTGATACTTGATGTCCTACTCCTGCTACAAGACCTTGATTTTGAGTACATGCTTCTGCCTAATGTGTAAATACCCTACGTAATATTATCGCATGAGCACAATACCCCAATGCTGTACTGGTTAATATACTTTATATATTACATGGCCTTATGCTAAGACATGTTCTTCGCCTGTAACCTCTCCTCAACCAGGGCTCCATATCAGTTATTACTCCCTCACTATGAAATTAAGTAACATCATCACTGGAACCTTGGAAGCTCTATCAAGCCCTTCTTGGCAGTAGAATCCTGAGTGCCGAGATCACACGCAGTGCCTTGGAATTGCCCAAGTTACTCTGTGCTAAGATACTAGACGGCCCCCTAGCTAAATCATCAGTATTGAACCACCCTTGGGCGAGATATACCCCTGCATAACAGGTGGGGCTCTACGGTGGCAAGGTACAAACTAAATCCAACCATCTTTCGGTAACGGCGGAGGGAGCACGGCGTGGCCCGGGGATGGCCGGCGGCGCATAGAGGGGTACTGATGTCGACAGGATGGCTTGATACTCTCGCGGAGACTAATAGTGATTTGTTGTCTGACCCCAACACAGCAATTCAACTTCTATTCGCCGGCTACACTGCTTTTGATTTGTTCTCCAACTATCCCCCCCCCCTTCTTCCACATTAGCTGTAGTCGGCAATTTTTCTACAACCTCAACCATACCAAGGCGCTTATTTTGACCCAGGCTGGTAATAAGATTAGACAGGACCAAAGAATCTCTGGTAGATGGTCATAAGTCCGTTCATAGGTTCATTTGCTGAGGCCAAGATGCTTCCGCGCAGGCTACGCGAGTAGTACGGGGTTAGTATGTTTCCATTCATTGTCCACATTAATCCTACTAATTCCTTGCTAGCGAGCCAGCCTTGTAATGGCTTGTACGAGCACAACACGGGGGCCAAATACAGGGCGACTGCTTGGCTGAACCAGGATGCGCCGGAAATGAGCTGATGCAATCCACAGTCAAAGCCAAGGATACCAAGGATTGCTATAAGGAAGCAAAAATTCATATCCGAGGCGAGAATTAAAAAGAGGTCTAGACATATTAAAGAATGTAAAGCCAACAGGGCCATCGTCGTCGTCTGGTGGAAATTCCTTCCTTCATCCTTCATTTTATCAAACATTCATTACTTGTTTATTGACGAGATACTTCCTTCATTCACTATAGCCACTCATTTATATTTTGAAATTCCTTTTTAAAGAACTTGTTTTGTGGAAGAAATGGTAGCTTGGTCCTTCGCGGCGGCACTTAGGGCTGTTGTCCTCTTGCTCGCTGCCGATGGTGCCGTGGCCTCACCGGGATTGAAAAGTTTCGCCAGCCCAAGCTACAACAGCATTGATGTCTGCCTTGAGCGATGCAGCGTCTCCGGGCCAAGCACGGGGAACTGGTCTGTCTATCCCGATTTCCGGAAGATCAAGAAATGCAAAGAGAGATGTCTTACGACTTCAGTCTGTATGACCCCGTTGATGACCGGGATCTGAATCACAAAGTTCATGCTTGCTCGTCTTTTGGTCCTGACTTTTTGCAAATCCCCGCTGCAAAAGCGCGGGTTACTTCTGGGAAAGCGATTGATGTTGAGTTCGAGGTGGGCTGGTGGCAGGAAGGATTTGGGCTGGCGACTTCGGGGCTGCGTCGCTCGTCAAGCAGATCCGCCACTATGTTGAGAATGGCCATGGGGCCACGGATAGGCCCTTTATTATCTACGGTCAATCGGGTCAGGCTACTGTTGGTCTTTATATTGGCCAGGGTCTGTTGAACCAAGGCCTCTCCCAGTCGGCCTTGAAGATGTTCGAAGATAATATGGGTAACCTAACCGACTCGACGCCGAGTTTGGCCATGCAGCTCTGTGAGAAGAACTACGACAGCACGCACATTTTCGGCATCATGGCCACCAGCAATGGGACGTTTACTCCCATCCAGGGCGCTATCAAGTCTTGGGCTAACGCGACGTGCCTCTCGTTCAAGGAGTCCACCAGGCTTTCTGGCTCGGCCACCTTCACCACGCCTCTTCTGCACCCAAATCGCACCGTCTTCACCACCAGGAGCAGCGCAACCTCCGTAGCTACAAAACTTCGTGCTCGTGCTGAATGTCGCACCGTTCAGGTTGACTCTGGCAACGGCTGCGCTGAGCTGGCTGCCAAGTGTGGTATTTCCGGAGCCGACTTTACCAGGTACAACTCTGGCAGTGACTTCTGTTCCAAGTTGAAGCCCAAGCAGCACGTTTGCTGCTCCCAGGGAACCCTTCCGGATTTCAGTCCCAAGCCGAAGGCTGATGGCTCATGCTATTCGTACAAGGTCAAGGACGATGACAACTGCGACAATCTCGCTGCGGAGTATAGTCTCACCAAACAAGATATTGAAGACTTCAACAAGAACACCTGGGGCTGGAACGGCTGTGTGCTTATTTACTCGAAAACAGTTATGTGTCTGAGCAAAGGGACTGCACCGTTTCCTGCCGAGATCCAAAATGCACAATGCGGCCCTCAAAAGCCAGGCTCGAAGCCGCCAACCGATGGCTCGGATATCTCTGATCTCAATCCCTGTCCGTTGAACGCATGCTGCAATATCTGGGGACAGTGCGGAATCACCAAGGACTTTTGCATCGACACCAACACCGGTGCCCCGGGAACCGCCAAGCAGGGCACCTACGGCTGTATCTCCAACTGTGGAATGGATGTTGTGAAGGGCAGTGGAACCGGCGCCATCAAGATTGCTTACTTCGAAGGATACAATTTCAAACGGGACTGCCTGTTCCAAGATGCCTCCCGAATCGACACCTCCCAGTATACACATATTCACTTTGGCTTCGGCACGTTGACACCCTCTTTTGAGGTTGAGACAGGTGATGCGCTGTCATCGTACGAATTTGGTGAATTCAAGCGAATTTCTGGCGTGAAGAAGATCTTGTCATTTGGTGGTTGGGACTTTTCCACCATGCCTGATACTTACCAGATTTTCCGCAACGGAGTCAAGCCTGAGAACCGGCTCGCGATGGCTCAGAAGATTGCAACTTTCATCAAAGATAATAACCTTGACGGCGTTGATATTGACTGGGAATACCCCGGAGCTCCTGATCTCCCAGACCACGATCCGGGAACTAAAGACGACGGTCCTAATTACCTCGCTTGCCTTGTGGTTCTTAAGAATCTCTTGCCCGGCAAATCCATCTCCATCGCTGCGCCTGCGTCTTACTGGTATTTGAAGCAATTCCCCATCGCACAAATTAGCAAGATTGTGGATTATATTGTCTACATGACCTATGATCTCCATGGCCAGTGGGATGCCAACAATAGCCACTCTCAGGAGGGATGCGACACAGGTAACTGTCTGCGCAGTCAGGTCAACCTGACAGAGACTAGGCAGTCATTGGCAATGATTACCAAAGCAGGTGTCCCTGGAAACAAGGTCGTTGTCGGTGTGACCAGCTATGGGCGATCCTTCAAAATGGCAGAACCGGGATGCTGGGGCCCCAACTGTCTATACACCGGTGACCGGCTGAATTCAAACGCGAAGAAGGGAAGGTGCACGGCCACAGCTGGGTAAATTGCCGATGCTGAGATTGCTGAGATCTTGAACAGTCCAAAACGAGCAGTTACCCAGCACTTTCTCGACTCTAGCAGCAACAGTGACATTCTTGTCTACGATGGCACAGAGTACGTGTCCTACATGAGCGCGGCTACCAAGAAAATGCGCATGGCTCTCTACATCACATGGGGTCTGGCAGGCATCTCTGACTGGGCCAGTGATCTGAAGGAGTACAACGAGCCTCCCGGGCCGGCCAAGAACTGGAACTTGTTCTTCGAACTCATCCTCGCCGGGGAGGACCCCAAGGCGGATCACTCGCGAAGTAGTAACTGGACCGACATGGATTGCACGCACGAAATGATTGTCGACTCGACATGGTACACACCCTCTGACCGATGGAGGACTTTGAACGCGGATGCTGCTTGGGCAGACGTCGTCAGAATCTGGAAAAACACAGACTCAAAAAGGGGAATTAAGTTCATTCAGTCGGTCTCAGATACTTTACATATAGGAGCTGGTGCCAACTGCGGCTCGCTGACGAGGGACAGCTGTGTCGCGAAGCACTGCCCAAATGGTGCGAACAGTGATACTTCTGGACCTGCGGCGCAGCTGATGAACTCCTTGGTACAGCTCCACATGCTACACAAGGACTACCACGACTCTCTGGTCGAGGCTACAGTTTTTAGCAGCACGGCGCTCGATCATATGGAGAATAGCTTTGCGGCGGTCCCGCCTGAGAAGGACAATACCTGGCTGTTGCTGATTATTGATCTTCTCACCGTTGGAACCCTCGGCACGGCGGGACCTTTCTTCAACACGGTCCTCAAGAAACTCCCTTATTTCCTCCAGAAAACAAGCACCTATGAGAATTCCAAGGATACCACCATGACTATGATTGGACAAGGTACAACCCTCGCCAAGGACTTGATATCCAGCGAAAAGTCCCCATGGACGCCGCAGTCACAAGATGCGTTCTCAAACTATATGGGGCAGGTCGTCGGTGGCTGGGCCAACATGACCTCTTATTCACTTCGCCGATTGTTCGACGGGAATGATGATTCGATTAAGCGCATTGGGGAGATCATTTCTAACGGAAAGCTCGTCGCGGGTAAATTTGAGCAAGAACCTGACGACTTGTACGATGAGACTTATAAGGAAGACCTGGTTACCAACATTCAAAAGTGCTTCCTCGGCTTTTCCATCCCCGCTCTGTGGCAGGCTTCGAAATCCTACGCATTTATAATCGACGCGGGCCATGGGTGTGGAGAGAAAGAACTAAGCGAGTACCTCACAGAGGACACCATGAAGGCCACAGGTGCCTGCGTCGACAAGCAGCAGTACTCCCTCGTCTACCCAAAGGACGACGCCAAGGTATGCAAACACATGTGCAACGACCACGGCTCCTGCACGACGGTGTGTAGCAACAACAAATTCTCCGCGCCCCCGGGCCTCGACACGCTCGGCGGCAAAAGCTATGGCGGCATTTCCACGGCCGATCTGATTACGGGGTCAGTCCGCACGTGGAAGCAGAACGGCAAGGCAAACGGCGGTGGTTTCGCGGACCCGACTAATCGGGGCACAATCGACAACATGATGGACGTGGACGTTACAACGCCTGGATTTATGCGGATCCCCGTCTGCAGCCCCGAGCGCGCCTTTCGATCCTGGGACACGGCCAAGCCGGGATCAAGCGACTTCTACCCCTGCGATATCCCGCCGGGCAAGGGCAACTGCGGGACCTCGACATTTATAGACGTAACCAGCAATGGTTCGCCTCTTGTCGAGGACTGTCTCACCATCATTAAGAATATTGAGGGTGACGCTAGTACGGACTACACCACTCTGCTTGGTGGCAAAAATCAGCGCGAGATTGTCTCGCATGTTTCTTGTAGGTTTGGCGTGGAGGCTACCGAGGAGGGCGGCAATGTAGACTTTGTTGTTGGTGGGTAGGACGTCATTGATATCATCAAGGAGTCGGTCAAGTAGTTTGCTAGGGATGGCAAGATTGGGGCAAAGGGCAACATGGATTGCAATGGCAACATTAAAGGTCAGCCGGTACTGTGGGGGATCTATTAGACTTGATGGTCAGATAATATACAGTCTTAAGTAGACAAGACGTGATATTCTGTGAATGACCTTTCAATGCCAGTGTCAAGCTAACAGGGCTGCTCTGCAGTATGTAGGTACCTATTTTGGGATCGTGCAAAGGAGCCTTCAGAATAGAACCGATACGACTTGTATGTTGTAGGGATATCATACCTTCGGAGTGTAAAGAATTATTGAGGGGAACATCTGAAGTAATGGCAGCATTGTGGTACAGTAAGGGAGTTCTTAATTGAAGCACCTGGGCATTGAAGCGGGGTTACGTGACAGCATGCCCAAATAGAAAAGGAAATTCACATACTCTCCGTTTACTTTGTAGATGTTTTGCTTGACCAGAGTATGGATTTATGTTTATCTGGAATGTTATCCTCGATTAAGCCATTAGAGGAATGTTCCCATTGCCTCTGTAAAGAACAGCGGAGCCCCTAAAGACAAGCAAATATGATTTGATTCATAAAACCTGTAATATATGGTCCTGCTGCTACATCATACACGCATATAGAAGCCAGGAGAAAGCCGAACAATGACGGGATAAGATATTATCCACTCGAAGATTAGTCAATATATACAGTAAAATTAATTGCTTTACGCAATTAGGCCCTTTATTTACCCGGGGACCCAAGGAGACACAAAAACTCCTTATCCGGGGTTGAGGCCAGCACGTTCTTGACCAAGTGCCAGACGTTCAAATCATAGGCCTCGCCAATGTGGCCAACAGGATCCAATGGGCAAGTATCCTGGATCCAGCGATTCACCACACCCTCCTCGTGGACGAAGGATGTCGACGGGGGAGTAACCAGCTCATCATACTTGGATGCAATGATGGTGACACTGTTACCGGGCTGTGCGATAGGGGTACCGTCATTCAAGCGTTTGACGGCTGGGCCATCGGGACCGAGATCGTTGCAAGCAGGGCAGCCCAGGGTCTTCAGCGCTTCGCCCACGGCTGCGCGAGAGTTATTACCAAACTGGTATGCGAGGTTGTAGATGCCGGCGAATGTGGTGGCATTGGTAGGGGGCGCGATGGATGCGATCTTGTCGACTAGGTGGGCGACGCCCTCAAACTTGGGCACGTAGAGAGCTTGGAAAGCACCCTCGGAGTGGCCGACAAGGTCCACTTTGCTCTTGCCGGTTTTTTGCACCACTTCTTTGATGTACGCGGCAATTTCAGGGGCGCTCTCGTTGATTGCCTTCAAGCCGCCAAGGAATGGGAAGCCATCGTATGCGCCGTAAGTAATCGCATATGTGCAGAAGCCTTGGGTTTGCAGCCAGTACTGCATGAAGTTCAGGTCCTCATAATATGTCGCACCAAGACCGTGCAGGAGGACAACTGGGTTGGAGGAGCTTTTGCAGGAGAAATCGTTGATTCCCGTTGCGAGGGCTGTGGTAGCCGCGAGGGTAGAGACCGCCAGCTTGGTGAATGAAGGCATTTTGAATGACAGGTGTGGTTATTCGTAACATGGGGCCCCATGCTCCTTATGAGGGATTCTGCAGGTACCCACATCTCCTTTTCTTTTTTCGATCTCCATCTCACTATCGATTGTTGACCGACGAGGTCGCCCTGTGAGTGGTTGGCGTCTGCCGATCTCCAGTGGAGCTAAGTCGAATGCGCTCTAGTTTAATCGGAAACATCTAATCAGAGGCAGAATAATAAATGAGCTTCGGATACATCATTTCAGCTGTCATTCAGTTAATGACAGAGTATCATTGTGGTTCGTTTTGACTCTCAGACATTTCATTATTTGGGCAATATTGCCGGAAGCCAGGAAAATAGCCCCTATACTATTAGCTGAAGAATCATGCAATTATTAGAACTAGCTGAACAATGTCCTTATATGCCCATGTGGGTATCGGGATTGATTTAACCGACAGCTGCATGTCAGCACAACACTTATTGTATCCAAATAGCTGGATCACAGGACCCTAGATAAAATAATTAAATCGGTGGCTACGGAACATCACGTCTATACAGATGGAATACTTGCATCCACACTACGGACTACCCGTATTCAATGGCGAGGATTCTTTTGTGGATAACTCCGGCATGGAACTGCCCCAAAGCCCAAGAGCATGCCGCTTCTCGACTAGTTGAAGCACCTCAACCATAAACTGGCGTTCTGGACCTCCGTCTGGAAATGCTTCCCACGCTACTCGGGTGGGGAAGGCAAGACGATTGATCATGTTGCCTGGCGCAGTGAGGATATAATACTCCAAAGAGCGGCAGATCCCGCAGCCCAAGTCGTACTGTTCCATAGGCGAGACGCGATCCTCGGGCCGAGTGTCAATCGAGGACAGAATCAATCGCACGGCATAGTAGACACACATGGTCTGTGCGAGTAGTAGAGTTGGGTATGTGAATCTTGTTGGGGTGAAAGTAGCCCCGGTGCGGAGGTCGCGGCGTTGGAAAATTGGGAACCCCTGTTCGCCGTGTTGTTCGGCCTCCTGTGGTGGCCCGTCAGGGTATGCGACAACCCAGTCTTCGTACCATTGATAGAAACGGGCTGTAAGCTCGCGTATTCCGTTCCAAAGCGTAGACTGTTTGACAGCCATCTCTTGTGTGCCCATGACAGACGTGAATTTTGCTTCTTTGAAGGCATCGGATAACGCTAGCAACCCTGGGACCTCGGTGGCCATGTCAAGCAGATGATGTAGAATATCTTTTTGGGTCGTTCCTGCAGACCACGGAATGGTCTTCCACTCTTCGCGGGCCAGGAATGAGGGTTGCCGACTTGCCAGAGCCGCGCCAATCTAGGCTGTTAGATTGAGAAGAGGCAATTATAGAAGGTCTTAGATCTTACCCAATATGGACGGAGTTCTGTAAACAAAAGATGTTCAACCCCATACATGTGACTTTCTGGCCCACGATGTTCGATCAAGCGCACTGCTCCTTGGACATGAGCGGAGACACCGCTCTGGGTAGTGCGTTCAACGCTCTGCTGGGTTTAGTATGGGCTGGATAAAAAGAGCCTTTTTATGGCACGAACCTCGAAAGCCAGCAAGAGGATCACCGTCACCAATGTCGACTCTGCTTTAGATTTTTCGGGGTCCAACAACGCATCTTGCAATCCACGTAGTACGCGAGGGTAAAGTCGGAACCCGGAGGCCTCGATCTGCTTGTTCTGCACAGAGCGACCAAAGAATGCCACCGAGACGGCCTCGAATGCGTCTGTGATGAGTGGTGAGAACATTCGAATCCCGGCGGCAGCTCGCAATGCGCCCGCTCTTCCGGATTTCATATCCACTTCTGGGCTAAATGCATCCACAAATCTCTCGACAAACACATCCACCGCAGGTCTTTGCATGCTCGTGACCGACATCGTGCCAGACGAGTCGGACCCACTTTTCAGGGACATGCGCTCGGAGTCGCTGTCATCGTCATCCTCAACGTGCAAGTTATTGAAGTCTTCAAACCGGGAATTTATTAACAGGCGATTCCGCACCGGCAAGGTTGATGAAGGACGCGAAGGATAATCGTAGGATTCATACGCTAGGGCTGTCAGCACGGGTAACTTATTGAGGAATTCATTATACAACATACCTTCCCTGCCTTCCCATGGTCCAACAGGGACCAAATCTTTCTTAAGGCCGACATGCGCGGAGCGAATATCGCGAACAAGATCATCGACTAATGGGCTGGGTGCAGAGCGAATAGACTCAAATAAGCTCTCAAGCTTGTCCAGGCGACGGAGATCCTGGACCCCAGATCCTGCACGATCATCAACAATTGTTCCACATTCACATGGGTTTGGCACACGCTACAGAAAAGATTGGGCGGGGCCTGCAAACGTACCATCGTGTTTATCGTCTATTCTTGCCCGAAGCTTGCGGATCTCCGCCCGTAGGTTCCGAATCTCTTCCGCTTGGCTGATGGGGCGGGCTTCTTCGTCGGGGACATGCTCATACACGCATTTGGAGGGGTAGCCATGGGCGCAGCAGGCGTGGCAGGGCTTGACTCGGTCACACTGACAGCAGGAACCACGTTAGCCTTGCCGGTGAAGCGTTACCAGTGGGACGCATTGGATGGGTACGGGAGCGTGCCGACCCCAAGAGCGATCTGAGCACGATGACAGGGGTAACGGACCTTGACTTTGCGGAGCCGGCAGACTTTACAGGATCGTGATTGACGGTTCGGAGCCTTCCTGACTCGTGAGTCGGGGGCGAATTGTTGCGTACCACTGATCATGGGGGCGCGGCAAAGGGGAGCTCAGAGGGGTTGAAGGGAAGGGTTCCTCATCCCGAGCCAACGACACGGCAGGATTTAGGCGAGCCAGATTTCCGACGTGGGAGTCCGAGATCTGCTTGCTGGGGGTGTGGACCCGTCTTACTCTCGGATGGCACTGACACTGGCTAGTCCGACATTAGTGGACGCCTCTGGAGGTTGTGATAGGTTGGAGTTGTGTGGGTGGAGTGGCCCCACCATTCCGACTGGGCCCGAATTGGGTGGTTTTGATTGGATACATTGGCATTGACACTTCCATGGATCGAAGAATTAGAGAATTAAACATGAGGCCAAAAAGTCTGTAAATTGTATGGAATAATCCGTACATTGTAGATGTAAAAATTGGAAGCGGTACCTAGGTAATAATCCCAACCTTCCAAGGTTCCAAGGATGGCCTTTTGGATTTGACAGGCGTCACGTGCAGCCTCTTGGATTGAACACCTCAGTATACGCATCTCATTACTGGATATGTCTGACATTGGAAAGCTCACTAGAGTCCCGTTTTTCTTGGCCTATCTATAAACTAGTTATTGAGTAGGTATCTTCTATATAGTCAGCGAATATCCCGAAAGACATCAAAAAAGACACTCCGAAAGAGATGATTTTTATACTGCCGTCAATTCGTCTTTACCCTGTCTATCAGGATACAATCTCCACTCTCTCCTCCAATCTACCCATATCGTGTACAACTAAATGCCAAGATACTACATGAGGAGAAAGAAAATCAGGAATGAGAGCTGCCATACACTCTAGGTATAGGTGCTTCACGTGGGATACAAATCCTGCAGTCTCCATACTGGGAAAGAAGTATCAAATGCCCGCGACATGACATATATAACGCTCATCATGTTCCTGGCCATCCCACAAGAAGCTCGCCTTAGCTTGGTTGTGGGCCCCCTTCGCACACCGCTTCCAGTCCCGAATACACAACAAACAAATATGAAGTCCCGCCATTGGCCGTGGGCGAAGTTTCTCACAGTGCAGGCATCCAAAGAATTCAGGACGCTGGTTGGCACCTGCACCAATTTTGCTTTGCTGCTCAGAATCGGGTCTACTTGAAAGTGACTCTTGGTCTTCATCTTTGGCCTCCTGGATACCGCGCTGAGCAGTCTCCGTGTCTTCCTCCACTTTGACCGATTTTTCCGTCAGTTTCTTGGACACGGCGGTTGAAATAGTAATGACAGTGGTTGTTGTTTTACTTTGCGCAGAACTTTCGACAACCGGCGGTGCAACTGTGACTCGACTGTGGTAACCGGAATCTGCGTGCAAACACTTTGGTTGCTCAGGCATGGTGGTAGATGGGCTGCACTGGTGCTTTCTGGGGTAATTCCTGTCTGCGAGTTGCTGATGCGGATGTTTGTCTGCAGTGCTGGCTCGGGGAGATAATACGGCCGAGCTCGTCCCTGATCTCCTTGCGCCCTTTCGCTCGATGCCTCTGTATTATTTTAGTCTGGACCTGATAAACAAGTGGAATTTTCTCCCATCAAGACATGTGATATACTCACATTTCGCGACTTTGCGCGGCAAGGTTCACACAGTTTCCAGAACTCCTTCCCTGCAGCTTCTGGTGCCCGGAACGCGTCCTTCCGCCTGACTTGCTTGCAGGTGGGGCACCGCCTAGTTTCTTCTGCCATTGTTGGATTCTGTCGTAATGTTTCAAAGTCATGAGAATGATGAGGTCACAGGTAGTAAGTTTTAAGGCGGAAAAGAGAAGTGGTTGAAGTAAAGAGGCGAGGCGTTAGAAAAAAAGAACTGGTCTTGTTATTGAAGTAGTAGATGGATAGTTGCCCATGGTCTCTGTTCGCTAAGTTGCACACAAGTCGAGCAGCATAAACAAGGGAAAGTGTAATATTGTGTTGATAGGCGCCCAGCAGTGGAAGAACGATCAGGCGCTGTCTTAGCTTAAGATATAACGTCCAAATATACCTCAACGTCTAGCTAAGACCAGGTAACGTTAATGGGGCGCCTATCTAACATCTAAATATCGACTGATGGACGTCCATATGACGTCCAAGCGTCGAAGTAACGCATATTAAGGTCTATCTAACGCCTGAAGCTCTATATATCGTCTAAATAACGTCTATCTACGTCCATCTAAGTACAGGTAACGTCGATGTGACGTCCAACTAACGTTAAACGACCAATCTGACGAGTATCCAATTGTAAAACGTCCAAATAATATCCGAATGTGAGGGAGGGAATATACAAGTAGGACGAAAGCAAGATCCATCGCGCTACTCTAACAAAGGGATTAACGGCGTTAAATAGGAGTTTTGAACGGGTCATAGCAAGCGTTTGTACGAATTTGATGTTCAACTTTACATCTCACTAATTAACTGAAAACAAACACTTTTTGCAATATTGCCTTTCTTGCTAGCGCGTTCCATCTCACGAAGCGCTTGATCTAGAGATTCCATATCCCACGCATTCGGATTTGATGTTTGATTTGATACGACCTCTTCATGCTCCCAAGGCTCATCGGCACCTGGTAAGATCGGTAGCCTGGGAGGTAATTTTGCGCTTTCGATCATGTCGACTCGGTGTAGAAGATCATCATGCACGGCACTGGAAACCACTTTTTGCATTGTGATGCCGGCAATGACATGGCGTAGATCGGGCTCAGCAGCGTGGGCTTCCTTTCGGATCTTCTTTAGTGAGAGTTCGTAGAGTCGATATGGTAAAACTTCGGAGTCAATGGTAGGGTTGTGACTTGGGGCTGGACTGCCAACGAGAGTGACACGAGGATTTTGCAGTTGGCGTTGCCGCCTCACTTGAGGGATGTTTCTGGTGAAGAGCCTGGTGCATTGTGTTGCGGACATTTTGGGGGATAAAGATCTCAATTGATGTAGATCTTGGGTGATATGGCTCTTTATCAGGAGAAATAGGATAGATATATGCTATCTATTCAAAAATAAATTGTGATTCATAAACGAAATTATTATAACGTCACCTGGTTTACTTCCCAAATCATGCCACTCCGTTTGAAGTCACAGTGGAGGAAATCGGGACGTTTGGCAGCGCGGGATATTGGGGGGTTGGGTGGCGCGAGTGTCATGCCACTGATCTTCATCAACTTCTGCAACATAACCAAGCCTTATTTTCATTAAAGAAGGATCAAATGCAATATTTGCAATTGACACAGGAAAATATGTTATAAGACGAGTTCCCCATGGAGAGTGCTAGATATCAATACACATGGATGTCGGGTGGGAACTCCGTTGAAAGCAATTGCATCCATACATGTATGGAGGTACATGTATGGATTGCAGCGGCAACAAAGAATATATGGATATGTATTAACATATTCCCAAATTGAATCATCTTTCTACATAAGTATCCCTGATGAAAATTCGCCTTTATTCATGGATGCCGAGTCAATGCCGTCCATGTGACGTCGGGAAGGAAGCCGATGGTGAGAATCTCGTAAAGAAGAAGTATCACTCCTATAATTACAGAAAGACAATGCCTACTGGAGCCACTGGAGGTGCGGGGAGACAACCAAGTATCCAAATACTAAATCTAAATATACCCTCTGGTGACCACGATATCCCATGTTAAAAAGGTCGGAAGGCGATGCCGATGTATACTCCCCACCATGAATCACCCATGACTAGAGACTAATGCAAGCCCTTGCCGTAATGAGTCACCTCCATATAACTGCAACTCTGGCTCTTCACAAAACTGTTCAGATAACTGCGCTGCCTTTTCATCCCTGCTGCTTCCCTCGCAGTTCCAAAGTCTCACCTCAGTATCACCATCGTCTGTCGAGGCCCAAGAATATCATATTATGGAAAAGTCCGCCTCCGCATCTGTGCAAGAGCGAGTGCGAGAGCCATGGCACTCGGCCTCGACAAGCGTGGCTGAAGATCCTGCTAGTCACCCCACTGGTCAAAACGCAAACTTCGACGAAGAAGCTCCCCGGTCGGCATTTTCCGTTGTCGAACCCCCAGCCGAGCTCTCCACCCTCACAACCCATCTCACAGGTCATAGTACCGATGACACATTCCCAGATGGAGGACTGCAAGCATGGTGTGTTGTGGCAGGTTCATTCTTCCTCTTGATGAGTACGTTCGGCGTGATGAACACGACGGGAATTTTGCAAAATTACTTTGCGTCTCATCAACTGGCCAGTTACTCGCCCAGTGCAGTCGGCTGGATTCCAGGACTGTTTACCTTCTTCGGTCTAAGTATTTCGGTACAGGTTGGGCCAATGTTTGATCGATATGGACCTAGGGGCCTTCTTATAGCTGGGACTGCATGCTATGTGACTGGCCTTCTTCTTCTCGCTCAAAGCCATCTTTACTGGCACTTTGTTCTGACCCTTGGTGTTCTTTCCGGAACTGGGGCCGCACTCTTGAGCACAGTGGCGTTGGCGAGCGTGCCTCAATGGTTCGATCGAAAGGCAGCCCTTGCTATTGGGATATCGATGGCGGGTGCGGGTCTTGGTGGTGTGATATTTCCATTTGTGCTCAGAGCTGGATTCACCAACCTTGGATATAAGTGGACAATTCGATTGCTGGCATTGGTGGTGCTAATATTGTGTATGCTTGGAACGGTTCTGGTGAAGGCGCGCCTTCCGAAAGGCAGAAGCAGATCGACTATCAACTTGCGTTCTTTGAAAGATGCGAGATTTACCTGGCTGACAATCGGCCTCTTTGGTATGCTGGTTCCCGTCCAGGAACCGGATGGTAGGAGAAAAGAAATGCTGACCAGGGATAGGTCTTGAGCTCGAGGTTTTTGCTGGTCTGGGTCTTTATCCAACCTATGTAGTCATGCAGGGGTTTTCTACCAATACCAGTGTCATCCTTCTCGCTGTTCTGAGCATGTGAGTGGCAATTGATGTTGATGGTCTCTCGGGCAAAGCGCTAACTAGTCGGACAAGAGCCTCCACCGCAGGACGACTGCTTGCTGGAGGTGTGGGTGATCGGTTTGGCAGAATTAACACCCAGACTGCACTCATTGCTCTGGGTGCATTCGCAGTGTTTGTGATCTGGCTGCCGTTTGGTAACACCCTTATAGGGCTTTATATGTTCTCGGTCATCTTCGGATTGGCTTCAGGATCATTCTTGAGTCTTGCACCAGCCTGCATCGGACAGATTTCGAGAGCGAGCGAGGTTGGTGGAAGGTTCGGCCTGACATATTCAATAGTCAGTGTTGCGTAAGTTTTAATAATGACACCCAGCTTGCTAGTTGGCCACTAATGGGAACTTAGCACACTAATCTGTATCCCCATTGGCGGTGAAATGCTCGACAAAGTCGGGAAGAGAGCCATGGTGGCATATTTGGGAAGTGTCCTCATTGTGTCCCTTGGTTTCTTCCTGATGGCGAGATGGGCCTGTTTGAGCTACCGGTGGAGGTGGCAGGCAAAGATCTAGAGGAGTTGAGGAAGAGACTAGAGAGAACTCCTGGTTCAAAGTCGATGTTGCATTCCAATTCGTAATAACGCTAGGCTACCGAAGCATCGTGTACAGAGGTTTTGAAGATCATTGTGACACTATTGTTAGTTGAAAGTCAAGTTAATTGTAATACGTATGTCGATGTCTCAGGTGAACCCGATCATATGGCCGCCTAGGCCATTCAGGAGATGTTCGCAACAAATTCGCAGAGCTAATTCTGTTCGCCCCCCTGAGACTTGGTATATTCATCGCTGTGACCTGTCAGTGTCGGTCTCGAGGGAGAAATTCCAGGATATTCCCACATATGTTTGTCGAGTTCATCCATATGCTTGCGCTGCTCCTTGACCTTTTGTTTGAGACGCTCAAGCCTGTCACTGGGTAAGCCTATATCTTGACATTTAGGTCAGTGCAACTCACTTCTCCAATTCTATCTGTCGAATATACATCCCTTCGTGTGCAGCCTCGCGTTTGACGAAAGAGTCCTTCCTGGCCAATGGTCAGATATATGACGTCATCCATTTTTGAGTGTGCCATACTCGGCTATGAAGCCTTTGGTCGAACCTATATCACCTGCACCCATGATTTTCGGGGTGGTAGATAGCGATCGGAGAAGAGTGGGATTGGTGAGGAGGAGAATGGGTCGCGAAGTTGCTGATTGCATGTTGGGAAAGTGGATTATTGTCGATCAGTTAGGGAAAGGGATGTCCACCTTGAGCTGCCACACTCTGTAAGATAATGTACTTGGGAGTCAGGTTCAAACTTGAAATATTGGACCGCGAAATAATTTTGGAAATAACAGGGAATAGGTTGATCTATTTAAATGTCATGACTTCAGAGGCAAGTCAGGTGACGGTATGGGTTGATGCAGTAATTCATGATTGGACAAAATCATCA